CCCGAACTGAGGGTCAGTTCACTTTCCCACGCAGGACGGCGAAAATGGCGCCGATTTGCATTCGAGAATGCAAGTACAACTGGAAATCTTTCACTCAACTGCTTGAAAAGGAACAACTGACCGATTTCACCGCGAAAAGAAAGGTGAAGGCAACTATGAAATACACACAAAAAATTCGGAAACCTTTCCGAAGCATGACTGCCCTTTCGACAAAAAAGAATTTTCTTATCACTCGTTCCTTCTCCTGAGGAGAAGAACCTCAAAGTTGTGATAAGAAATCTTCCCATTGATGCGAAACCCACGGACATTCAGGAGAAACTCCGTGAAAAAGATTTCACTGCGCTCAAAGTGGAACAACTGATGAAGGACAGAGGAAAAGATAGGGCTAAAATGCCCCTATTTCTGGTCACTCTTTCTAAGACCCATAAAAACAATGAGATATATCCATCTGAAATATCTAATGTACTTGCACATTAAAGTCGAAAGATATCGTGGTCGGCGTGGGCCGACACAATTGCTTTCGATGTTCAAAGGTACCATCACGCGCAGGCGGCGTGTCACCACCCGCCTCGCTGCTGTAAGTGTGCAGGCCCTCGTAAAAGCCGGGATTGCCCGGAACCCAAAGATTCTGAGCCGAAATGTTGTAACTGTCTCGGGAAGCATACCAGCAACTGGAGGGGTTGTGAGGCCTTCCCAAAGCAGAAACCCAATGCCCCCAAGTTTGATGAAAGGGACATTATCAATAAATCCTACGCCCAGGCTGTTTGATATTTTCGCTGGGAAAATTCAGAAAGCTGTAGCGGACGCTCAGCAGGTCATGAAGAACCTCTGCTGATCTTATAGCGCTTCTACACAATACAACTACCATGGCTGAAAAGCAAAAGTAAAAACAGTGAGGCCCGAAACTAAGATAAATTATGGATCGTAGGTCCTTAGTAAAAATGACCCCAGTGACGATCATGACATGGAATGCGCAGAACATTATCACCAAAATTAGCGAACTGCAGGACTTTTCTCATACCACATTTATATACTATTATATATCAGCATACACTCCGACATTGCACTAATCACTGAGACACACGCTACGCCAGCGCACTCCCTGAGTATTGCTAACTATCGCAGTTACCGCTGTGATAGAATCAGATATAGAGATGGAGGCACCTTAATCTATGTCAAACGGAGTCTGGACTCCTGCTTCTACGCTTCTGACAATTCTCATGGGTTTTGAAGAAGTCAGGGTAGTCGTTCGAATCTCTAATTGGGAAATATGCTTGTATGCGCCCTTTACAACACTCCAGATCTCAGGCTGCAAGATCAACACTTACAGAATTTACTAAATAACCCCTTTCCCACCATAATTGGAGGTGATCTTAATGCTAAACATGTTAGCTGGGGGTGCCGCAAAACAAATAAAAAACGGTGATATCCTTCAAAACTTCCTGTTCAATTACCCATACTACATTTACCCCTCCCCAGAAGATTTTACTTTCCGGCCTACTCACCCAAGACAGTATCCAGACATACTGGATCTTTTCCTCACATCTGATAACTTACCGATCACTAGTACGGAAGTAATCAATGATCTTTCTTCAGATCACATGCCAGTTCTGGCACACCTTGGTATTAGGCAGGCCTGAAGCCAAAGCACCACTTACAAAATTATTAATTGGGAAAAAATTCAAATCTGAAATTAACAATCACCTCCCCAAAACAGGACTACTTTAAAAAACGCATGATATCGACTAGGCCATCACAAACATCACCACCTCTGCATTGATACGGCATTACAAAATTCTACTACAGAAATTATTAATAAAAAACATCACTTCAAACTTCCGCAAGAAATTAAATTAAAGTAGCCAAACACCGAAATAGACTCCGCAAGATCTTCGCCCACTCACGTGACCCAGCAATTAAATCGCAAATTAATAAGCTTAATCGCAATATTAAAAAGTTAATTGACTCCCACCAGACTAAACTTTGGAATAACAAAATTGAAAAATTAAATGCTGAAGACGGAGAATTCTGGAAGTCCCTCCGTTTAATGAAGTCGACAAAAACAAGCAACAAACCTCTACAGGACGACACTGGATTCAAATACAGCAACGAAGACAAAGCTAAAGCCTTTGCCACCCACTTCGCCAAGCAGTTCACTCCAAATGAGACCCCTTCAAACCGAAATTTCATTAGTCACATTAACATGTTTGTCGATAATTGGATGAACCAGCCCAGTGTCAAAAATCTCCCTGTTTTTACCCTCTCCCACAGAAGTTAGCTCTATTATAGCTAAACTTCATAATAGAAAAGCACTTGAGAAGGACAAAATCTCTAATACAATGATTAAACATTTGCCTGGTAATTTCATTAACAAACTCTGTAGCATTTACGACGCCTGCCTGTACCTATGCTATTTCCCAGCTGAGTGGAAACAAGCGGTTTTCATCTTAATTCCCAAACCGGGAAGAGATAATACAAGAATGGATGGGTTTCGCCCAATCAGCTTGCTTCCTGCACTGGGAAAGATCCTAGAGAGAATTATCTGCAAAAGACTACAGCCAGCCCTAAACGCGCTTCCAAACCAGCAGTTTGGATTCCGTAAAGGATTGTCTACCACAATGCAGCTTGTCAGAATCGTTTTTTAAAGCGCAGCTATTCATAAGCACCAGACAACTGCTTTCCTTATGCTGGACGTGGCAAAAGCCTTTGACCGCGTCTGGCATAACGGACTTATCTACAAGCTTGCTTCCCTTGATCTCCCCAGGGAAACGATTTTGATTCTTCACTCCTTTCTAAGTGATCGATCCTTCTGTGTCAGGCAGGGCGATGTTTATTCTGAAAACACATTAATTAAAGCCGGCGTCCCCCAGGGAAGCATCCTTGGGCCTATCCTCTATCTTATATATGTTAAGGACTTCCCTATGATTGAAAATACAAACTGCATCACCGCCTGCTACGCGGACGACACCGCCATTCTTTCTAGTTCACTTAATCCACGACATGCCATCATCAGAATACAAAACCACACACACGAGATAGAGGAATGGTGTCGCAAATGGAGGACGTCCATTAATGCCACAAAATCTAAATTATTACTGATAGGACGGCATAGAATAAAAAACGTTGATGCAGATCTGACCCTCTATTAATGAAACAGGTACCCAAAGTCAGAGAGGCAGTACATACTTGGGAGTTCGTTTTAATGGCTCGCCTTACATGGAGTCCTCACATTTCCATGACCATCGGGAAAGCCATAGGAGACTCTAGGAAGCTCCGAAAGTTTCTTGACGCCTCCTCACCACTGGATCTTGCTCGGCAAGAAGCACATTTACACATCAGTATTAAGACCCATCCTTTACATATGCCTCCCCTGCATGGTGCTCTGTTCCCACCTCCGTATTAAATTAAATTGCAGGTTTTCCAAAACAACTACTTACGAAAAATCACAGGAGCACCCCTGGTTCGTTCGCAATAAACAGCTACACAGAGACCTTAAACTCCAAAATCTGGCGTTATTCATCAATAAATTAAATAATAATTTTTTCAAGAAAGCTATCACCAACGCGGAGGTAAATTATTCTGACAATTTTAAGTACGAGCTCCTAGAAATTGACATCAATTTAAGGCCCTATGCAACCCACATTTATCGGAATCCCCCATAAATACTCCTAACTTCTGCCAGTCAATTTTTGAAGTTTCTAAGTATGACTTCTTCATTTACACTGGCCTGGGCCACATCTACGCAATCTTCCTGCAGTCCCTTATTAAGGTATTCCTGCGAAGCACTGTATGCTATGTCTCCCCAAACCGGGGTTATTTTGAGGTGCCTGTAATAGCGGGGTATAATTCCTGCTGAAACAGGCATATCAAAAGTATCAAAGACCTACAGCAAAACATATGCTTGGATCATAAGACAGAAACAATAGCTTTCTGTACGATGAGTAAATGTAAAAGCAGCAGTATAATCAGCAGCTGGGCTGTCATTTGAGCCAACCATTTGCTAAGACAAACACAGCTGAACACTGGTAATTTGACTCTGATTCAAACTGCGAATGAGCTCATTGTACGGTTCTTTTCGCCTTTTTTCCCATGTTTATATAAATTTCAGTTTATGTGCCTTAAAAAGCACTTCGTGAAGCCATCCTTTTCGTTACGCAGACAATCTTCGAGTGCTTTGCCATACAAACGAGGCTGTCACACAAGAAAGGTGTATTTCGCTAAACGTCTGGCCAAATTTGAAGAAATTATTTTTGAAATTAAATGTTCTTTCTTCTCATGGTGATAATACTAATAACCAAATTAATTTTCTCCAGCTGAATTTTGATTCAACTAATATTTATATTTATTTCCCTGCAGAAAAACAGCATAGAAAGAGAGACTAAATTAAAAAGAATGCTATTTATTCGACTATCATAAACAAAAAAGGTAGACCCCCCCTGCATATACTAGGATAGATGAGTGGTCTTTAAACTCTGTTGAATTAAAAAATTCCTAAAATGATAGGTTTTTTTTTTTTTTTTTTTTTTTTTTTTTTGAAAATCCTTTTCAAATAAATAAACAAAGAGTTAAAAAACACTGGAAATATATCATTACATTATTTATACCAGTGAAATATAACATTACACTGGAAATATATCATTACATTAGTTACGAATAAAAATCGGAATAAAAAGTACTATTTAATTTTAAATGGTTAGTTTTCACGGTTCACTTGATATCCAAAAATTCTTTCGAATTTTGATTTATGAGAACCCTAAGGAGTTACTTGGAACTGCAAGGTTCCTGAAGTCTAGTTTGAAGACCACTGAGATAATGGGAAATAAATAAATAAAAAATAAAATTTTGAAGCTTAACTGCATAGAACGGTGTTGAAAGTATGGTTAATAGAAAAAGACTGATGCATTTAATTTAAAGGAATAGAAACTCCTAATATGAAATATGTTATGAATGTAATATATAATACAATATATTAAATTAAGTACATTTTGTTTCAAATACAGGGTCCTTTAACAGTGACGGTGGAGACTCCAATGGAAACAGTAATTGAAATGTTTTGTAAATTAGGTCTTCGACAAATTTTGGTAACAGAGCATGGGTAAGTTCATCATTTATTTATATATTTTAACACTATTTTTCTACAGATTCTATATTGTATACAATTTAAAAAGAAAAAGATAAATTAAAACACATTCTTCTGTAATGGCATAACTATTGGGTTGTTCAGAATGTAATTTCGTTTTTTCTTAACAGACGGCTTAATTGTATTTTTTCACTGCCAAATTCTCATAAAATCATTATATATTTTGACAGCTGATATAGCAGGGCTTGTTTGTAGAAAAGTTCGATTGATTCTATGCACTAGTTTTTGGTTAGTGCCCTTTCAAATATGGAAAGTGAAAAGCAGCATTTTCGGTATATTTTCCTTTTTTTTATTATTGAAAAGGTAAAAATGCGGTTCAAGCGAGAAAAAAGAAAAAATTATGCGATGAGTATGAAGAAGATGCTTGATTCAGAATGTCAGTGCAAAAATTGTTTTGCAAAATTTCGATCTTGAAGATGCATCATGTTCTGGAAGGTCATTTGGAGCTGATGAAGACGCAATAAAGGCATTAATTTACACAAACCGGCGAATAATGACTCGTGAGATCGCTGAGAGAGAAAATTTATGGAGTTCGACCATTCATTATCATTTGAAACGCTAGGTTTAATCTCGAAGCTCGACGTATGGGTTTCTCATGTTCTTAAACACTTCCTTAGCTATCGAAAATCCATGTTCACATTTTGAAGACAGCATGGCTGATTCAGAAGTCAAGCAACAAAAATCAGCGTTACATTTTCAAATTTTCACAGGACTAGTTTCGATGTAAATACCGAACTACCATCCTCAGCAGCAAAAGCATCCTATATTTGCGCTTTTGCTGCTGAGGATGGTGGTTCGGTAAAACCATCGAAACTAGTCCTGTGAAAATTTGAAAATATAACGCTGATTTTTGTTGTTTGACTTCTGAATTAGTATTTGTTCGGCGTGTTATTGTGTCTTAAGCATAGCTGACCTTTCGTGTTATCTATTCCGAGAAAAAAACCTAATGCCTCTAGAGTGACAATCAACTAAAATATGGGCCATAAGTCGGCATTATCTGAATTTGGTCAACTGAATCTCATACTTCTCTCCCGAATCGTCCTTTAAGTGACGAGAATGTAATGAATTATCACCTTCTCCAGTGCATGTTTTCGTTGAGTGTGGTAGCATGTTTGGTTAGTAATCGGAAGATCCGTGATTCAAATTCCGACGAGAGCATAGTTGTTCTCATGTTATCTACTCTGGAAGCGAAAAAAAACCCTACATATCCCTACATAATAACGATAAATGAATTCTAACAGTAATTTGCTGTTATAAAAAATATTCGCTTATAATTAAATTTTACAATTTGTACATTAAAATAAATTTTGTAATTCTAGTAATTTGAAATTTCAGAACTATTACATTTCCTATATATTCATGCATTTTTTTTAAAATTTAAATATTTAGTGTTTTTTGTTCAATTATTTTACATTTACTCATTGTGCATTTTGTTTAATCTTGAATTTGTGGCCACTTCTTGTAATTGTATGTTTACTTTATGCATTAATTTCTACAGCTTTAATTTTGATGAAATGATGTTGGAATTGTAAGCATAGCTTAAACAGCATTTAAGATATGTAGCTTATCGTACCTTAGATCCCTTTCTATCGTCACTTCGATGACATATGGCGATTTCTCCCCAGCGTGGCAACATTTTAGGAGCGAAGTACTAGATATAAATCGTTCGTGAAGTAATCAAGAATGTGATCTCTGTTAAACAAAAAGTCATTGAAGTCATTGAAGAAATATCTGTAGTTAACAAGAGATTCAAAAATGAAATACAAAGGTTAGAGAAGTAATTTCTGGAGCTGACTTGTTCTGTGAAATACATCTTTACTTAGCCTTCTGTAAATAAAATCAAGGCTCAGACAAATCATCCAATTATCAAATAGTTGATGGGAAAATATCATGGAATGTATTTAAAACACATTATACAAGGATTTTGCAGGCTAACAAATGAGATTCTCTATCCAAATCCTTACACCTGATCATTGTGCTATGAGGAGAAGCAGGAGAAATATTACAGATGCTTTTGGCCAAAAAACAAATATATGTTGACATCTTAGTAAATGCTTTAAAATTGAGATTCATTGAAAAATAGCATGAACTTAAGGGCTGGCAGTAGAGCACAGGAAATACACTTCAAAAATTCCCTATAGATGTAGGAAAACTGATTCATTTAGTACTGCGAGACTTCACCTCTGGAATTAGAAATGTTTTTTATCTTCCAGTATTTTGCACCTGCTATTAGGAATGTAGAAATACAACAGGCACTTTAAACAATCAAGATTTAAAGAATGCTCTCATGCATTTCATGAAAGGCGAAATTGCCCATAATGCAAGCAGGAGAGATTATTAGCACATAGAAAATCCAATACTTAAAGCGCTGACGGAACCAACAAAAAGACTGAAGCTTATGGAATCTTTCAAAACAGTAATAATAATAACAGATTAAAATGCTGCAGCTATAACAATGAAGGGCTTTTATAAAAAAAAGTGTCTTGGCCATTAAATACAGAGAAGTAAAGAGTCTTCTTTCGAAGGAGCAGAAAATAAATGCAGAGAAAACTTTCCTGTTCAGTTTCATGGCAGAGATCATGAATTATATGAAGGAGAAATAAACAGGTTTCCTCATTGTATGATAGTAGATGCCAATGCTAACTTCACTATTTTATGATCCTCAGTGCATAGGCTTAACCTGGCACAAGAAACTCAGCTTCATCCTTGTGTCTACAGACTGTTAACGGAGGCGGAAAAAAAATACCACTGCATGGGAAAATGAAAGTTATATGTTCACATCTTGTGAATATGAGCACAAAGTGGCCGGTACAATATTTCATGCATGCTCAGAATGAAACTTTTAAAGGAATACAAGTTTTTTTTAGATGTCAAAAATTATGTACCTCACTGAAGAAATAATAATGCTTTGCATGATAATGAAATCTGTTATTTTAAGTTAATACTCCACAATAATATCCCTAACCTTTATTGAAAAAAATATGTCTTTAAGGAATAGCAGAAACTCACAAAATCCTGAGTGAAGAAATTATTAACCCTTTGCGCTCGAGGCGCTTTTCTGTCGGGTGAACCAGCAACTTGAGAGTAATCAGCCATTCCCGCTTATATCATGAGTTCCTTATTGTTAACTTAAAATAATTTTAGGCCAATAAAAACCTTAAAACTCGTATATTTACATTATACATATTTTTTTAACTTAATGAAACATATGTATTAAACATTACTTCTAAATTTTGCTTCGTATGTTATTTTACAAACAATCTCAATTGCATCCTGGCTGTGGGCATGGTCACAGTGTATACGTTGTCGCTTTGCGACGTTTTGGGAACAAACTTGCATTTCCCTTCTTATATACTTATAAAACCTTTCATTTATATACTCGAGGAAACACGATACTAACCTCAAACGGGTTTTAGGGTTTGTGTTTTCTGAGGGTATTGTCTTGGGGTGACGTCTCCAAAAATATTTGACAAAATCGGTCTCTCGTAAACGTGTCTGAGTAAAACGGAATATAACTAGTATCAGTTTTTCGACCAGTATTCTTGTATGTTTGCCAGTGGCATTGTCCCCATATTTAATGATTGCCCCAATAAACGCCCAAAATTCGGTAACTGTTACATCGTACCATGATCACCATATAGAACGGGATGATAAGGTCTTCCCTTCCATCTTCCTTGCAGCATTATTGTTAGTTTCCTGCACTATATCAGTACCTAATTCCTCGGTGAAAAATAATTTGAAATATCTATTGGTTCTTTTATGTGTGCAAATACGTGCAGTCCTATTTGTCTTTCACCGGATACAAACGGTATTCTTCTGGGGATTTCTTCCGATTCTGTGCACACTGTCCAATCTGAAGGTTCAGTCTCTTCTATAAAATCACTTTGGCTTCCAGATTCACTATCAATTATTCGTTTTTCTTCTTTTGCTCCTCTAACGTCGTCACTATCTTTATCACTTCCGTCTTCGTTCTCATGGGCAAGCCGTCTATGTAGTGATGTAATTTCATTCGTTTTGCCGAAAAATTAACTCATCTTTGCTAGAAGGAATTCTTCTCGTGTTCCATACTTATTGGTCAGTAACTTTGAAAAAAATACTACGATCGGCAAGAAGGTTGAGTTCGAACTGATGTCGAAAGACAGAGTCCTACCCGCGGTCGCAAAGTTTTTAGATAAGACTTTAATTGCATAAGCATGCAAAGACAACTTTATTTGAGATAAGACATCCTTAAGCTATTCAGACACCTTGTAATATGATTACAAAAGCCAATAGATCTCTCACGCGATATTCCTTAGGTCAAAACAAAATAAACAACGTTTTCGAATGTGCCTCGGCCCCGCTCGAGTTATCGCATCACATGCAGTGGTGCAAAGGGTTAACTTCCCAATAGAAACTAAATGTGTGAAAAGTCTTTGAGTTGCTACTACACTTGTGGACTTATCAAATGGAAATGTGCCAATCAGAACTGCCAACATAAATCACAGGCCACGTATTATTAGTACAGAAAATGGTGGTGGTGTATTTAATTACGGCAAAGCACACTAGGGCTATCTGCCTAAGGGGAGGGGTGCCTTCGTGGAGGACTTTAAAGGGAAACTGGCTCGTATACACGTTACACATGGGGAAAACCACGAAAACGCCCATGCAGCCAGCCCGTTCGCGGGATTCGAACCTCGGACCAAACTACCAGTGTTCAGCGACTTTACCGCTCGGCCGCTGGTGGGCCTAGTACAGAAAATGAAATGGCTTCATGTTCTCCTGTGACAAGTATCATGCAATATTGCCTTGGGTGAATTAAAAGGTTCAATTGCCAGCTCAGAATTAAATGCAAGCTGCAAGTCAGTCAGAGGAATTTAAAGATGTCTTTTCATCTAATGAAGTTGGTGGCACAAATGTGATATAACACCGGATCGATACAGGAAACTATCCATCATTAACAACATTTAGGTGTCTTCCTTTCACTAAAGAAGAAAAAAAAAATAGCTGAATTAAAAATAAATAAATAAAATAAAATAAAAAAGTCAAATGAAATAATTGTAAAAAGCTATCATCATAGCTTGAAAGAAAGACAGTGGCACATAATTTTATTTAAAATAATGGAAGATATGGTTTTTGAGTCATATTAGCCAGGCATGTTGAAGAGCTATTAGGTACTCGCCAAGAGTTGAACTTCGGATCTTCCAATTCTTAGCCATATGTTCTATCAATTATAGAGGAGCACAGTAAGGGAGAAATTTTCTTATATTCTCTGTTATTTAAAGGGCAAGTGGACAGAAAGGTGACATATTTACCAAATCCAGATGGTGATGAACTATCATCACCACAATTTAATTGGATGCCAGTAGTAATATCTGTTAATTTTTCGAAGCAAGAAAGATGAAATGTCAACTTTGTCGGAATTCAAACTCCAGATTTTTTTATCGCTAGATGGACATGCCACTTGCACTATGAAGGTGCATAGTATGGAAGGTAAACATTAATTATACAGTTAAGACAGACTCCATAACATCAGTAACTAATTCTGAAGCTATGAAGAATTTAGAAAAGCCCAGCTGGAAGATCCTGATTTGAAGTCACTAATTGTGCCAACAGAAACAGCAAATGAAAAATCAGTTGATAAGAAATTACATCATTTACTTCGATAATTAAAAGGTATTGGGTATGTCTCAATTAACCTCACCTGCAACATACAGTCCCTACTGAAAACAGGAAGCCGACTATGGAAAGAGTTTCAAGTGGTAACCCTTCTTGCTATTATCAAGAATTCCTGGTGTTCGGTCACAGTTTCACAGTGGTGGTACTGGAAGTCATTCTGATGTCGTGATGACATTGTGTAAAATATGTGAGCCCTTCTGGAATAAGGCCAAAACAGACATGGAAAAATGCTGCAAATGGCATAATGGTGCAATAGTTTTCAGAACATAAAAGGTCCATAAGTGTGTATATGAAGGATTTATAGCAATACAATGTATGAGGGTTGTTTGACATGAAGGCCTTGGACATTTTCAGACCTTTACCTCAAGCAATTAAGGCTAACAAATCTAATAAATCCTAGTTATAATGGACTACTTTAGTATGTGGCCAGTAGCTTATGCTGTGGAAAGATGAACTGGAATTCAGATGTGGAAAATTGGGGAATTTTGGCATCACATATGCTTTGAGCCATATAACGTGCTCTTCAGACACTACTTCTTCGCCTAAGCAGTATCTGAAAGGCCTGAAGGCCCATTTAGAAATTCATCAATTCAACAAAGAAAGGATAAATGAGAGGATGAAGATGAGACATAAAGCTAAATCAATAAATAAGAAGTTTGAGATAGGAGAACAAGTCTAACAGTGGAAACCCAAGCATCATTTCAGCTGCAGAACATCTGAGGAGATACCCTTCAGTGTGATCAGTGAACTTAATGAAATGGTGGTCTGTTTATAAAGAACTTTAAGAAGTACTTTGGAGTAACAGGAAGATGGCAAATTCTTGAGTAAAACTGTTACTGTAACAAAACATGACCATCTTACAGAGCTGCAAAGCTGAAATTTGAATCCATAGAATAGAAGTACTCAAGATCTATGAAAATCAAAAATTGAAGTGATTATAACCAATATCATACTCATGGTATGATATGGAGAGATATGGAATTTTTAAACACAATGATTAACTCAGATTCTGATGTATATCTGCACTATGACAATAGATAGTAATGTGGACTTGACTGAAATGCATTGCAAATTCAAAACAAGAGGCACAGAATGCTTACTAGGGATAAGTATTTCTTTGTCTAATGCTTGGTTGCATTTTGCTGTTTAAACTCAAGCCCCATATTACTGCTTTGGAGATTCACTCTCACTAGAGCCCAGACATGGAATAAAGTGACTTTTTTCGTGCCCGAAAAACTGAAAACATGCAAGGAAACCGATTTGATGGCAAAGATGCTAAAAGTGCTGCACTGACTGAATGAGCATGTGCAAATTGTCATTAGTGAGAGATATACAAATTATTCCTGTATTACAAAAATATGTCTGTATTGATTATGTGGCTATTGTGTAGGAAAATAGTTTAGAGTGTAGAACATAATCATAATAAGACATTTTAAAGAAATCTCATTAAATTTTTTTTAAACTAACTGGAAATCACTTAACTAAAATTTTTGAATGCAAATGGCTTAGACCAATAGGATTTATTTTATTTTGACAAAATCGAAGCATTCTTTCTGTAATAAACTGTTCACTTGTTAGAAATACTGATCAGCTCAATGGTTAAGCTGTGGTAAAAGGATAATGAATTAATTTCTTTTTAAAATATACCAGTTTCTTTCAACATAAAATAAAACACTAAAAGATGCCGGTTTGAGAACTGTAACTGTTATATATCAAAACATTTATCATATTTATTATAAAATAATTTTTCATCTGAGATCTTCCTTACTTCTGAGTATAAAAAATATGAGACATACGAGTATTTTACATAGTTGAAAAATTCAATTCAATTAAATATTTTGGTATGAAATAGTGTAATATTTACCATCTAGCACTACATAACATTTGCTTCAGACATGAAACTCGTGCATTCAAATACTTCTGGGAGAAATTATCTTCATGCATATTACCTAATGTAAACTTCTTTTTCTTATTATAATAACTGCTTTTTAAAATAGAATGTTATATAGACAACTACTTTTTTAAATAGAATAGAAGAATTTCAAAAAACATTTTCATAGTTTGGCGAAAACTTTTTGTGAAATGCTTAGATATACTATTTTCTTATAATGCTTTTTATTTCAAATAAATATTAAAGCAGAACCATTTTCTCATTTAATTTTTGCCAACTCTTTCAGTAAAGTGTAAGAAAAATACCAGTAGAATAGTTTCTAATGCAGCATTTCTTCATTACTTCTTTGTCAAAAACGTAAATTGCTTATCAAACATTAATTTAAAGAAAATAAAACTTTCAGATTTTTCATGTGAAATGCTTTTGTAAAAAGTATGACTAAAAGTATAAATATTGTTGATATATTTTATGAACATGCTGAGTTATACATAATTTCTAACCATAAACTCCATACTTTTTTAACAGAAGGCTTGTCGGTATCATCACAAAAAAGGACGTACTGAATCATGTACAAGAATTGAAGAGCACAGTTGAAGAATAAGAATATACCAAAGACAATACCTGGATAATTGGAAATTTTGAAAAAAACACATTTTAATAAAATTTTTATACATTTTTGAAAATATTTCAGGAATATTAATTATATTCATTCATCAATTTCCTATCAGAATGTTATATTTATTATGGTCCATAGATAAAGAATTTTTATATATTATATAATTTAAGCTTAGAATGATAATTTTTTATGTATTGTATAATCCTTTAAATCATATGAATAACTTGTTTATAGTGTTTTTATTAAATGTGTAACATCAGTATAAACTGTTATAGAACTTAAAACATTTTTATTAAATAATTTTAATAATTAATTTTCCTTCATTTTATTTTATTCACCACATGCATTATGATCACATTTGACATTGTCATATACATGTATTGTGTATATACAGGATATTTAAAAACACAACAATTATAAAAACAAAATAAAACAAAATAAAAGGCACATCACAATACCGTTTAAATTAAAGGTTGTCAGGCCAATTTAAGAAAAGTATCAAATCAGATATGTTTTCAAACTGTTGCAATCTTGGACACATGTAACCTTTTACTAAAGGTATTTGAAATTAAAATTTTTATACTGCCCTCTGCAAAGCAATTTGCAGTTAGAAAATCCTTATCAATCATTTATTAAATAAAGTTTCTTTAGATGCAAACTTAATTGGAAAAAATTGGCAAAATTGTAAACTTTATATACCATTTCCAATAGAAAAAGCACAGAAAAAAAATCATTTGAGTATGATTTTGAAATGAAAATGTAATTATGGTTGGTAAAATGTTCTGAATTTTAGCATTATGATACTAATATGACATATTATCTTTGAAAATTTAACATTATTATGCAAGAATGACATAGATTTTTAAAACATGGGAAAAAATCAAATAAATAAATAAAGAATATTTTACATCAATATTCAAATTTCTAACAGCACAGAAAAACAATCCAAGCTTTAAAAAAGATTTAGATGCATTTTGTAAACTGAGTAATTAATATTTTTTCATATGTATAACGCATTTTGTTTTATTTATATGTATGAAATGATTAGTGAATGAAGTAGTAAATGCTCTTTAAAATATACTAGTATTGATCAAAACGTTCTGATTTCTTTGGTGAATAATTTAATTCTGACATAGATTTAAATAAATCCTATAATGAATATCATTTCAGTATGTACTTAAATGACATTTTCAAATTAAACTTATTTCATACTTTATCTCATTTTACTTAATATTGTTTCCTATTATTTAAAAATAATCCACATTAATTAATATCATAAAAATTTGAGAAAATGAATAAGGATTCCTAAATAGATAATTTTGTTTCCTACACATGTATATAATTTCACATAGCATATACACAAAATATACTTGTAAACGTGCATCCTACTCAAAAAGTAAATAGTGGTATGATTCAGTTTGCAGAAGTTTATTTCCTATGTATATGCAATCTTCTAGAGGAATATCTATGTATAATGAATGCACTGCAAAAGTCAGGTTTATCAATAGATTTAAAACAAGATAATAGCAATAACAAATTAGAGTTTAAAGACTTTCTCTGAATCTGAAATAAACATGCAATAATCGATTTTTGTGTTTACACATTGCAAACAGATTACACAGTTGATAAATTATCTGACCAGAATATACAGTAATTGTCCACTTGCATTTATAATAACATCTACAGAAGAGAAAAATTATTAACTTGAAATAAAAAACCTTATTAGTTCATTCCTAGAGAAAAATTCAGAATATTATAAAAGTCCACACAATTATATGCAATAAAATAAATATATGACTTCAAATAAATATGGTGTCTTTGTATAATAGACCGAAACAACAATCAGAAACCTATAAAGCAAAGGACAGAATTTCATTCCAGATAGGTGTATCTCCTTGAGCAACTAGTCTTAACAAATTTTCTCTTGTAGCATGACAAACATCATCATTAGCACTCAGCAAACACTTGTAGTGATTTAAAACTGCATCCCGTGAAAGTCTTGCATCATTTGATATCTGCCTACAAAAGGAGAAAAAATAATCATAACAATATTTTTGTCAGAAAGTATTTAAAGTAAAATTGAGAACTTCTTCATGCTGCTTTTAATATAAATCAAATAATATTATTTGAAAATAATCAATTTATAGTAAAAATTTAATAATGAATAACTGTATCTTAGCAGACAATTTTATTTCCTATTATTTGATAATAATTTACAATAATTCATATAATGAAAATTTTAGAAAATGAACAAGGATTCCTAAATTCATAATTTCGTTTCCCACTTGCAAATATATATATATAATAACTGCAGATACTCAATAATTCTTTATGGCATATATAGAATGACAAAGTTTGTAGATTCATATGATGACACAATGGAGAAGAAAATCTTTCAGACATGGCATCGATTTAACATGGTTTTATTTTGTAATAAAGCAAGGTAAGAATAAACATGTTCACACATCATCATTATGGGTACACTATGCATCTCACAATTCTGTACAACTTATGTTTTTAGAAAAAGGATAAAGCACAGTACCAAATTATGCACGACTACGAGCAGGAAAATGTACTGTGCACTAGTAGCAGTGATATTTATTTATAGTAAAAAGTCTCCTTAATCTGACTGAAAGAGAGTCATCTGCATTGCAGCATGAAAAGAAACAAGGAAAGATACAGTCCAGAAAGTTATCATAACTTTTTCTACTTTAGAACAGAATGGGAAGATAACCAAATTAAAATGTGGAATAAAAAGAACTATTGCCAAATTAAAGTTAATCGTTTTCTTTCCTATTTTATATCATACATACTGGCCCAGCAAAACTTAATTAGATAAAAATTTTATAATTTTTTTTCCAGCAAAATTATGTTTCCCTTGTTTTTGCTAATGATGCTTCTTTCTAAAAAGGTTTTTCTTTTGCCAAGCCTTTCTCTCCTTAAAGAGGGGGGGGGATATGTAAGGTATAAAATACAAAAGGCAACACTAATTTGGTAATAGTCTTTTTTATTCCCATTTTAATTTGGCTATCTCTCCTTTCTGTTCTAAAAGTAGAAATAGTTTATAATAACCTTCCAGATTGTGTCTTTCCAAATTAATCCATTTTATGTTTCTTATGTAATCATATCACAATGTGGATGGCTCTCATCCAATCAGATTAAAGAAATTTTTATGTATAATATCACTTTTGCTAATGCACAATCTTTTTTTCCTACTTTGCTGCTTGCCAAAATGCATCTCTAGGCTCTTTTGTTTATTAACATAGTCTAAAATAATGTAAGCTCTGTAAAACAGTGGGGGTACATAGCAAACCCATAATGATGATATGTGAACCTATTTATACTTATCCAGGCTTGCTTTATTATGAAATAAAACTATGCTGAATCATCACCTTGTTTGTAAGTTGTTGTTTTTTTCTCTGTATATAATACAGAGGCTGATCCATCATTTTTTAGAAAACTTTGCTTTTCCGTTTAAAAAAAAAAAAAAAAAAAAAAAAAAAATTGATTGCAATTTCTTTTAATGATTGCAACTATATTTTTGAAAGTATAAATTACCATCTGCTACTTGACAGTTTTGTTGTTTTCATGCAAAAGGTCACTTTTAAAGAAGCAATGGCTAGAAGACTATGTTTGTGTTCTTTGCAAAGAAAAAATTACTTATACCTAGTTATTAAAAAACTTTGTGAAAGCCACAATTTTTTTATATCTAAAGCTATGAAAGGTAATATTATCAACAACAAGGAAACAAAATGTCAAAATTTAGTTTCAAGTGAAAAAATCGTTCCAAATGCATATCCAAGGAAAAAACATAATGCTTCAAATTTTGCAAAAGTAAGCTCTTTAATAAGTGAAAATTCAGCAAGTCAAAAGACACTTCCCAAATCAAAGTGACTGATGCTGATTTGAATCTTAAAAAGGAGAAAAACATAATGTACATCATCTTTCTCCATGACAGATCGCCAAATGCAAAATGTGCTGCAGAATTCTTTATGAGAAACATTTATCTAGACAAAGATGGAAAAATGTTGTCACAATAGATGAATCTTGGGTTGACTGCAAAAAAAGAAAACCATTTATTATCACCAAAGAGGAGAAAAAGTCTTAAATGGTTCAAGGAATCTAAAGAGTTTTCCTAAAGGATTTATGATTGTTGCTCATTTTTAATATGATGGCAAATTAAAAATAAAGAGAGCGAAGAATATAAAATAAAGAGAGGAAGAAAAATGTTAACATTAGCTCCACATATTATCAAAAACATATTTTATCCCAATTTTCAAATATGAAATACTTCTCTTTACACACTATGTGATCAATCAGTAGAATTGCATCAAGACAAAGCAAGCAGTGACACATAAAAATCTGTTAATTTCCTGGAAATAATGGAACAAGAAACAGGTATCAAGGCCATACCCTTCACTTGTATCCCTCCTAAATATTCTGATCTATCACCAATGTATTTTTGCACTTTTGGACTTTTAAAAAGCTGGTTTCCCAAACGCTGACCTACAAACTCCATTGGAAAGCTGTTTGAGAGCAATGGGATAAAATACCTCTTCCTATACTACAAAAGTACTACTACATATTGTCTTGAAAATTAGGGTATATAGATAGTGAAGAATAGAACATTTAAAACATAAAAATTTTAGGCAAAATATTTCTGTAATTACAATGCAAATCATCTAACAAATGTTCAAAAAGCCTTTGTACAATACTTCCTAAATTATGCCTTAAAAGGGGGAGATAATAATAAATCAACAACTAGATACTTTATTCTTTCTTTATTTTGGGGTTATTTTTTTTATTATAATTTTTTTTTTTTTTTTTTTTCATTTTCTTTATTTTTGAGCGAAGAAGACAGAAGAAATAGTTATCAGATTGGTTCATTATATGCTGCTTTATCTATCCTTATGCATAAAAAATAATTATTTTTTTTAACTTTTCAAGGCTGACACTTATTTTCAATATATCACTAAAAATCAAAATAAATAAAGCATTAAAAAAAGATAGATACAGGTTTTACTTCTTTAAATATTTATCCTAGATATGTATTTTTAACTTAAAGGTTCTTCAAAATATGGTAGAGAATTTTATGAAAGCAGTTTCATTATTTGGGATCAGGAAGCTCCACAAATATAAAATTTAACTTTTTATATGTTTTTTTCAGAGTAGAAATTTGTATTGGTATTTTACAATGCCTTAAAAATTAAAACTATATATTTACTTGCAAGGTTTACAAAGCTATATGCAATCAATATTATATTATTTAGCAAATGTTTTTCATAGGAACAGCTACAAATTTAATAACGTGTCCTGTTTTATCCAATATAGAATGACTGATCATTAAAAAAATTAGTTGTTTTTGATTGTGTAAGTGTTTTCATACATTCTGTTGAAACATCTAGAGTAACTCTGTAATTGATATTGAAAAATGTTTTATATTGGTTTATTTGTTCTTTGATAGCTTTACAAATTTCGCATGCAAAGGTATGAAATATTTTGTACTTAGCTTATTATCACATATTGAAATCTATGCCAGACCATGTCACATTACCTATATCTTGTACAGATAATATGTGGGTACAGATAATATGTTTGATATATATATCAAACAGAGGAATATTCAACACATATCCACAGATACAATGTGCACACTACTTACAGTAAATGTACTGCACATATTTATATATGAACTGAAATAAAAATGAATAATTTAAGAACTGACATAATTTTTAACTACCTGCATTTTTCAAAAAAATGGAAGGCATGAAAAACTGAAAATTTTAAAGAGACAAGCAATCATAATTTTAGAATTTCCAAATATACACATACCTTGATTTCCACTCACTGCCAGCAAGATCAGAACTGCACTCTAACATATTGATACAATTAACTAAAAAATCTGAATAAAAGTTATAAAATGCAGAATTGTTAACGGCTATAGTACGTAATTTAGTTGCAGACTGTTTCCATATGAAATGATTTAAAGAATCATTTTTATTTGAAAGAAGTTTCAGCAACATCCAGCTTACTGCAAACTCTTGAATTTCTTGAACTTCCTTTGTAGTTTCTTCCTCTCTGTGCATAAGTATGTGCAAGAGAATTGCCTGTTAAAGAAATACATATTAATCCAATAAGGGGGATCAAAAGAAAAGTAATATTTCTATTACATTTTAAAAACTATACTATTATAAAAGCAGTAATTAAAATGAACAATAAATGTAACTATAATGCAAATAAAGTTCAATGAACTATGAAGGGGCACCATTCATTAAAAATTCCATAACCGGAAAATAAGCTTTTTAGCCCTAAGTCAAAATTATGTGTACTTGACATGTGTTATTTTTTAGAACTGGAATATTATAAAATTAGTTTTTTTTTTTTTTTTTAAATCCAATGGCAGGGAATTGCTTATTCATCACCGGTCACTCTTAAAGACAGAAGTGGTAGCCATTTTATTGCGGAGGCACCTAATAGGCAGCCACCATTTCCTCCGAGGAAGGGACGGACAGTTACAACTATGCCTTATCTGGGTTTCGAACTCGGGCCCTTCAGTACTGTAGTAGGCTTCCCTTACCACTTACCGCCTGGGCGGCTATTATAGAATTAGTGAAAAGAAACACATTGAAAATATGGTAAATATATAAGAAGAAAAATATTAAACAGTGTGACTTTAGGCATGCACACATAAAATTGCTATTCTATGAAACTAAGAAGAGCCAAACCTATATTAATATGCCCCAGCCAAACCTACATTAATATGGCAGATTACATTAAAAAAAGTATATATTTAATATAACATATATTTACAGTGTTAACAAAAACAAAATTTTCCTCTTTTGCATATTTACCCCTCTATTACTGAAAGGCTTTCTCCTCTGACCATTATGAACTAATAATATTAATCTACATTAACAAGGAAAAAACTGCTAAAAGATTTGTAAAGCTTTCATTTACAACTAGCATACATGCAATATTAATATTTAAAGCACAGCAAGATTTACATTCAATATATCTGCAATCCATGGATTGCAATAAAGAATGCTTTAAGATTCTCATCCTACAAATTAGTAAATTCAGAAAACTTACTTTCAAAAAAGGTCGGTTCATAGGTTTCATCTACATTTACAACATATAAGTTTTCATACAATTATAACACAGCAGTTCTAGAGCACTATTTTAGATTTTCTACATTGAACAATTACTTTATGGTACCCAAAAAGTGCTTCACATTATTCAACGCAAACAGGTTAGAAGTAGACTGATAACCAATTATTTAAAAAAATGAATTCTAGAGAAATCCAGAAGTGCTTATGAAGTAGAAAGACAGTGGTGGAGATACAGATGTAATACAGGAGAAGACTGAATTTGAGATGCTTCAAACAGTCTATTGGAAATATGTTATTTCAGTTATTCATCTACATTTACAACATATAAGTTTTCATACAATTATAACACAGCAGTTCTAGAGCACTATTTTAGATTTTCTACATTGAACAAATACTTTATGGTACTCAAAAAGTGCTTCACATTATTCAACGCAAACAGGTTAGAAGTAGATTGATAACCAATTATTTAAAAAAATGAATTCTAGAGAAATCCAGAAGTGCTTATGAAGTAGAAAGACAGTGGTGGAGATACAGATGTAATACAGGAGAAGACTGAATTTGAGATGCTTCAAACAGTCTATTGGAAATATGTTATTTCGGTGAGAAATTTGAAGATTTTTATTGGTACTGATGAAAATGTCATGCCACAGTCTGTGAAAACTGTTATATAACTTTGTGAGAGAGGCCAACATGTGCTAGAGGGTGAAAAACAGATGTAAAATACATGCAAGAAATACGGTGAAATACGTTTAACGCAAAAACGCTTCAGATGAAATATCGGTTAACACGAAATAATACAACTGTCCCGACAAACTACTATGTATTTTCATGCATTTTTCTTCCTTTTAACACAAAATGAAAATCTCTTAACATGAAAACATTTCCCTTCTGGGAATGAACAAAATACGAAAAACACCAGCCGCGCAGTCGAGATTTAACTCCCTGAGGGGCAGGAAAAAGCAATTGCTAACCTTTTCAGTAAAACTCTTGTTTTATTTATGATATCAGGCGCTACAATGAAATTATTTGTGACAATTACACATATTTTGTCCAAGACACATGAAAAAAATGACCACTTCTGGTGGTTAGTGTTAGTGACCACCGCCCACAGAACACATCTTTACAAATCAGTCTCTATGGTACTAATGGAAACAGTTTTTCTTTTTCAAGCAGAGTGCAACTTTGCATCTGCTGCATTCACACACTGTTCTTACAGGCTTTTTCTTGGTGCTGCAGAGTGCACATCGTCGTAATGTTGTCTTCGATGGATGATGTTAATTTTCTTGAAGATGAAAGATGAATTGCTGCATCAACTACTGGCTTATGTTTCTTGATTGCCATCTAGTGAGCTACAAGGGAACTTCACAGACAATCAGTCTTGGAAACCACTCACACGAGTGAGTAAGACGTTCAATAGAAAAGGTGATTACTGAAGATAACAACCGCCCTTCAAAAAGTTAAGAGGAGTGTGAAATGAAAGAGATGTGGTTTTGCATGTTTCGTATAAAGAAAGCTAACTTGGCTTTGAAATATTCTCAGAATAGCCAGTAACACAAGCCAATTTTGTTTATCTAAGCTACTTTCACCCTCCACCCCTACAAACGCCACACAAAAACATATCATCTCTAATCAGTTGACTTTGGAATTCAGTGATGAGTACATCGCAGTGTGTGTAAAAATTAGTGAGTTTGGTTTGCGCCAAACGAAATGGAGAAGAAGGATATTGAAACTGAGCCAACACTTGATGAAATGTTTCAGAAAGTTACTGTATTATTGGACTGTCCTACTGTATCACTGGAAGAATTCATTGCAGATGATTATAATATTAATTATTCGTTGTAGATGCGCCAAATGAAATGGAAAAGAAGGATTCAGAAGTCAAACAACAAAAAATCAGCGTTATATTTTCAAAATTTTACAGGACTAGTTTCGATGGTTTTACCGAACCACCATCCTCAGCTGCAAAACCGCAAATGAACAAGATAGGAAATAATGATTAGATAAGATAAAAAAGCCTGGACAAGAATAAGCAAGTGGTGCCATCTGTTGATGAAACCAGAACTAAAACATAATTTCTTTAGATGGATTGGAATTAGGATTGTTAACTAGAACAGAAAGATTTTTTTGAATGTGAAATGCCTCTAGAAAATCCAGTTCTCCAATGGAAGATATTTTTTAAATAATTTTGGCAGCAGAAAAATTGAAAGTGTGATTTTTGGACGAACAATGTTGAACTGGATTTTCTAGAGGCATTTCACATTCAAAAAAATCTTTCTGCTCTAGTTAACGATCCTAATTTCAATCCATCTTTGCCTTGGGCCTTTAAAGAAATTATGTTTTAGTTCTGGTTTTATCAACAGATTGTGACACTTGCTTATTCTTGTCCAGGCTTTCTTATCTTATCTAATCATTATTTCCTATCTTGTTCATTTGCGGTTTTGCAGCTGAGGATGGTGGTTCGGTAAAACCATCAAAACTACTCCTGTAAAATTTTGAAAATATAACGCTGAATTTTTGTTGTTTGACTTCTGAATTACTATTTGTTCGGCATGTTATTGTGTCTTAATTGGGGAAGAAGGATATTGAAACTGAACCAACACTTGATGAAAATGTTTCAAAAAGTTACTGTATTATTGGACTGTCCTACTGTATCATCAGAAGAATTCGTTGCAGATGATTATAATGTGTGTACAGCCCCAATTATGGTAGACAAAGACAGTTTGGAGTTTGTTCAAAGTTCAAAAAATATCATTGATACAGATTCTGTCTATACAAAAATGAAATGAATAATGCAGCTCCTGTTCCCAAAATAAGGAACATCATAAAAAGTATGCGCAGTTACTTTTAGATGTGCGTTCCAATGGTGAAATGAATGATAAAATGGATGACATTGAAAAATTTGATACTAAAAAAAAAAAAAAAAAAAAAAAAAAAAAAAAAAAAAAAAAAAAATGCAAAGAAAAATATCATAACTAAGAAAACTCCCCAAAAATCAATTAAAATTTTGTTTTTCAAAAAACTTGAAAATTTTGTATTAAATTAAGTTCTTGTGGATGTTTTTGTTTCATTGATTTTTATTAAATACATGCTTATATATGTGTGTGTGTAAATAAAATGCACTCTAATAAACTTAATTTTGTTGAATATATATATGAGGGTTGGGGTAAAAGTCATGGCAACTAGTTTTTTCTTGTAGATATGTCAATGGATGACAAAATGCATATATGTCGTTTGGAAGTTCTACAGACATAGTGTGTATACAGAGCAACAGATGGCTCTGAAATCAGTCAGTTGGCGAGTGTCGTGTGAGATGGAAGTAACCGTGTTGAGCAGTGCGCTTACATCAAAATAGCCGTTCTCCGAGGGAGAAATGTGATGGAATGTCACAGTGAATTAGTAGAAGCCTTTGAGAATAATGCCCTACCATATTGTTCAGTAGTGCAGCAGGTAGGAAAGTTTCAGGAAGGACGTGTGTCAACCAGTGATGAGCAAAGTTCGGGACGACTGGTGAGTGTGCGGACCGACTTGGCAGGTGCCGTCATCGAGCACCTCATGGATGAAGACAGACGATGGACATTACTGGAATTAGGGTAAGTGGCATCGAGAAATGCACCATCCACAGGATTTTGCGTAATGAGCTACAGCTATGCAAAATCGTTTTGCAGTGGGTACCGCATGCACTGACGGAAGTTCAAAGGTGGGTGCTATGCAATATGCTCCGACCACTTTGCACACTGGCAACAAGACGGCAATTAATTCTTGTCAAGAATAATCGCCATCGATGAATTTTGGGCTAGGGCATATGAACCAGAACTGAAACGTCACTCCGCAGAGTGGCAACATCTTGAATCACCAAAGCAAGCAGAAGTTCTGTCAGAATCCTTCCCCAGTCAAACTGATGGTGATCATTGCATATGATGTCAGGGATGTCATTCTTTGCCACTTTGTTCCTCATGGCAGAACAGTGACCGCACAATACTACAGGGACTTCCTAGTGCAACAGGTAAGACATGGCATTCGGGATAAACGTCCAGATCTTGTGGACAGTGCAATAATTCTACACAAAAATGCAAGACCACATAAAGCAGAGTGTGTATGGCAGCTACTCTGACGTTGGGGATGGGAAGAATTAGAGCACCCACCGTACTCTCTGACCTTTCGCTGTAACTTTGATCTCATTCCCAAGATTAAGGAACCAATACATGGTAGGCGGTTTGCAACACGAGAGCACATTGCTAATGCTGTGCATCAACAGATGACCCGATTCACACATGGTGTGGCAAATGCTGAGGCTGATGGTATTCAGCGCCTCCCACATCGTTGGCTGTGTGTGATGACAGTAGCAGGGGACTACACTGAGGGTCTTTAGGCCCAGGTTTGTCATATCAACTTTATGTGTATTGTGTTATCATTCTTTTGCACAGTGAAGGCCATATTGCCCTGTATACTATTGTAATAAATTCGTGTGGTATGATATTTCAGTGCTATTCATTTTCCACACATGTAGTTAAGACCTTGTCCTTTCGTCTGTATATGTCAAATTTTCCAACCGGACTGGTATCTTCAAGAAAAAAAAAAAAAAAAAAAAAAAAAATAGTTGCCATGACTTTTGCCCCAACCTACGTATATATATATCGGCAATATTCTTTAACACAAAAAAATATTTTAGTCTACTCCGTTGTGTTAAACGATTTTCACTTTACATACATGCTTTATGCATGAAGCTCTAAATGCCTAGTTCCTATTTCAACTATTTATTGCCAATGTCTGTGACGTTACTGAAACTATTCTTAAGAGCATTACGGACACCGAACTGTTTCTGTGAACATTAAGAAAAGTTCATTAAAAATCAATTCCCTTTCCACCTCCTTGTGCTGATTCAGTTAAACTGTTATACATGTAAATGAAATGGAGTTATAATTTTTTATCTTAAACATATCAATTGCTAACCTGCTGTTTTTAATAAGCTGTGCTTCTAAATTCTTTCCACTATCTCTCTGCCTTTAAAAACCCAGGAAAAATTAATAAGCAAAATAAAAAAATAAAAAAAGAAGAAGAAGAAGACTACAATTTAAGGAAGAATTATGAAAATTTTATTCGGTTTACAATAATTATCTACTTGTAAACTTTTAGAGAAATTATATTAAACATTCAAAATTAATGGTTAACTGCTGAATATTTAAAATCAAACTTTAAAAGGGGAATAAACTGTTTTCAGGTATGGTAATAAAATACATTAAAATAGAGAAACATGTTCATAAATTTGATGCAGTTATTTCCTATAGCTACATTCTTTCAGTATGTTCTAAAAATTTTGAATAAAATCTAATTCAAACTTTTTTTAAAGATTAAAGCACATAATAAAAAGAGAAATAATAATTCTCACCATTTTATCTTCATTTTCACAAAGTGACTCAAATGCCTTTGATAAACTTGTTTCAATTCTGGGGAAGAAAAGATTGCATTAAATATTACAAGTCATTTTGACGACACTAGTAAAAATGTCATATACATTTCATTACTTACATAAACACCACAACTTCTAACAATAACAGATTTTAGTATCTATCATATATGTTTTTCTTATTTACTTGCTTGTATGCATAGGCAAAAGTACATAAGGGCTTTCCATCAAAAGGAGGGGATGGCTTCATGAAAGTTTTTCTAAGGACTGGCTCTTTTATGTTACACATGGGGAAAAAAATAAACACAATCTTTCACCATAATTACAACTTAATTACTGGTGTTAATAGACTTACCTACATGGCCACTGTTTGGCCCATATTTACTTTACATATTTTATAATTCAGAGATAATTTTTTTTTTCTTTTATACTCGTCCTCTTTTCAGAATATACATTAATGAAAAATACATAATAAGCAAACATACCTATCACTATTTTTATTATTTATTGTTGGTGTTAATTTATCTAGTTCAAATACTTCTTTTTTATGATAATGCATGTTTTGTAATGCAACATAAATATTAAAATTTTTTAAATATTTGACCTTGAATAGAACTGAATGCACTGCCTTTAAAATATTCCCTTTCAAAAGAATTGTACATATCTTCTGCTAATATATTCCACAAAATATCAAAATGAAACTTTTACTTTTAGGTAGTCTTTGAAAGTTCTTGTGTAAAAAATACACTCCATTTATTATGAATAAAAATTAATCTTAAAGAAATGAACTAGGCATAGTCTTTATCTCATTTCTTTTCAAACTAATGCATTATCCAGCACAAATTACCTCACAATTCGCACTTAGCATAATCATAAATCCAACAAAAATAATGCAAATCCTGAATGCATTTTCGAGAATAGTCAGAAGTTATTAGAATTATTTATTAAATCAGGATTTTTCTCTCTTTAATTAAAACATGTTTTAAATTTCAAATTATTATTGATATATGACGCATCTAACTATATTATTTTGAAAAATAATTTTCAATAATTTATTCATTTTCATAAATCTGTTTTACATTTCAGTTTACACAATAACTTTTTTAAATATCTACTTTATGTATACATATATTGCATAAGATATAGATTTCCAGGCCCAGTGGCACAGTGGGTAATGCACTGTGCAGCAACACCACATGTCCTGGGTTCAATCCCCTAGCTGGACAAGGTTGACTCAGCCTTTTATCCTTTGAGTGGGTCGATAAATGTTTGCTTGGGGACCAAACACTGGGGGTCGTACAAAAAGCTGACCACCTGTTCAGGGCATATGCTCACACCTCCCCAGGGGCCATGGTCACGAAAGCAGATATTGGGGCACTGCAGGCCATGGCCCACTATGGCTGTTGTACCACTGAGATTAGTTTATAGATCTGCACCATCTGTACAAAAGTACAGCACTCTGCAGATGACACTATTTGTCAATGGGAAGCTATAGGGCATTTAGGCAGCTAATGATTTTCCTTATTCTTTACTACTGTGGGTTTGACTGCATTATGTTCTGCTTGCTATTAGAAATAACTGGAATAAAAAATTAATAAGTACACATTTTTCAAAAACATATTAATTTTCTTGAATTTGCATACAATTCTCTATTTTATTTATATAACATCCTTTTCGACTTTAATATTTTACGGTAATGAACAACATGTTTTTTAATACTCGCATTACAGAACTCTGCCACTTCTGATTATAGCCAGTTATTCCCAGTTGTTCTCACCTTTTCATCAGTGTCTTGACCTTGAACCATTTCACCAATTTTTGTACTTTACTGTCACCCACTACACTAGCACTATACATTTCACATATTTGCTGATTAATATTTTTTCAATTTTCATGTTTCATACTATTAGAACCAAATGACTGACTGTATCTCCCATCTAGCAGGCTGATCAATTTTCTTAAACATTTTCAGACCTCACACTATGAAGCAAACTGACAAATGACATAAATGCAAGCCACTTTTGATTCTGCATAAGAAATGTCAGGAGCATGTGCACACATTCGTTCTTACATGTGTGAAATTTCAAATGATATTCATAAATGAACCTTAGTTAAAAATAATCTATGCATATAGGGCTGCTGCAAAATATTATGCCTGATTTTCATTGGCATATAGGAACTTTGGTGGTTAGGTGGTAAAAGTGGTAGTGTGATAAATTATTTTTCCACAGATGCCTTTGGCTGAAATCAATTTATGTGTGATAGAACTTTGTCAAAGTTGAGAACAAAAACTTATAAAAGTGTTATGTTACATGAATTTTGAAAAGGAGTGAAAGTTGAAACTGCAACATAAAATTATTTGTGACATGTATAGGGATCATGCTCCTATTCTTAGAAACTAGTAAAATAGCAAATTTTATTTTTACTTTGCAGTGGATGGCAGTTTGATAAAAATGATGATGTTATGCATGTTTTACCATGGAAAATAATACAAAGATTACAACTGCAATAATTATTGAAAGGCTTTGGTGTAAACAATATATCCAGATTTAGTTATTCTCAGAAACTTGGATTTACTTTCAAGCTTGATATACAGGAAACTTTCATGTTTTGATGAATTAGAGTATGCTGGAATATGTCTTTCCATCAATTTCTCTGCTTGCATGCCCTAAATATAAAGCTAAAATTCAATAAAAACAAGTAATGAAAGAAGGATACTGTGCAAGAACATATACTGAAATAGAAGCTCAAAACTGTAAAATCCACAACTCATTTAAGGAATGTATTGCTGTCTGTTTAGTAGATTGCAAGTTAATCATTTTCTTTCACCTGGCAAAACAGCAGGTTGGATACTGACAGCACTTCAATGCACTCATTGCAATCCTGCAAAACCTGAGAGTTAATGGACTTTTACAATTATCCAATATATATGTATGTAATAATAAAATTCCGTAGTCAATATTACACTTAAAATTCTAACTGTATGTTCTTTTCATTTTTTTAATGGCGACATTCTCTTATTTGAAAGTACGTGGAATTAAATCTACAGCCCCGTAGTCAAGTTGTTTTTCCCGTCTTTTCTACACGTACAGTTATAGAATGTTCTGGAGATATTTGAAGCGAACTGGATTGGCCGACGAGGCTGATGTCATTTCTTTGAAGCTCCGCCTTTCTAGAAGCTATAAAAGGACTCGCAAAAGAATATCGGGGGCTTTTCTTAAATGTCACGATGCAGTAAACTTCATACAAATAGTTATTAGTAATTCTTTTTTATTTACTCCAGAGATCTAATTTTTGTAACTGCTATTTTCGCCTGAAATATAATAAATGGATCATTGTTTTTGAAACTTATTGTCTGATAATTTGAGCAACGACTACATTTATGATTCTTCACCATTTTTTATTCCGGACAAAAGCTGGTACATCACATGTATATATACCCAACATTATTTATCCTGTAAGACATACAAAAATTTAGATCAATAATGAGAAAATGTACTGTTGTTGATGTTGCATTCTTGCTCAGTTATGGAATTCTACACAAAATATTATACACATCACTATACACATTTTGTAGATATATAAATATCAGATGTATCTACATTTCTATCATTTAAAAGCTAATACTTTATTAATTCTCACAAACACAAAACATCAGGAATGATAAAATATTTTCCTTTTAAAATAATTAATCCAAATACTTTGCAAAACATACATAAAAAGCATAAATATACTTACTGCTCTTCTGTAGTCAATTCTTCAAGTACAGCTTTCAAATAATCTAAAAATATTTCAGCTTTTACTTCATAGTATAAAGATCTGTCAGAATTAATAACAGTGATAGGTTTCAATGCTTCAATTACTTCAAAACATAATAAATCCAATTCTGCAACATCATTCAAATCCTGAAACATAAAAAGATATATAATTCATGTAATTAAGAAGATATATGATACACATATTTAAGAAAAAGAAACATAAATTAAAAAATAAATAGCAATTTAGTTTTTTTTCTCAATACACTTTTGTTGGGTAACTTATTTTTTTCATGCATAAATAATTATAAAAAGCATGGGTAAAATAATGCCTTTCAATGAGCAAACTTATATTGAAATGTAAAATAACATAATAATAATTTTATCATACCCATAATTAAAGGTAACACAACAAATAATCAATATGTTAAAAATATAAATAAGATTACCATACCCAAAATTAAAAGTCACTCACAAAGAAAGATCATTTAATATATCTTGCTTATAATTCCTGGTTTATCAAACAGATAAAATTACATCAGCCAATCAACAAGAGCAAAGCTTCACAATTGCAATGCATGCAAAATATTCATATTTGAAAATATAACTCATTTATTTAGTTTGTTATTATAATGCTAATTATTATATAATCTCACACAAAATATTATGGTTTATTTTCTCTATCATCGACTGCATAATTAGACCAAAGTTTTCTCATAAACATTTTGTTTCAACACAAAAAAACTTTTAAAATGAAATGAATTTGTTATATTTCATTTCAGAAACAGAAATGAAAACATGTTTTATTAGCTTGAATTTAAATATTTTTTTTTCAAGAAAAGTTTATTTTATTTAAACCATTGACAATATTTTGTTTCTTCACTGGTATAATAATTTCATATTTAGATTTAACTAATTTTATTCATTCATTTCAATTTGCTGTTGTTCCCTTTAAGTTTTATATAATTATTTTCATCTTCAGATTACTTATTTTTGCATTGCTATTTCACTAAATTTATTTAATAACTTGAATGGTTATAAAGAAAGATTTTAACTGAAATTAAGATGAGAAATTTGAGATATTTTTTAAAAATTACTGGCATGTAACACAACAATACTGCTAATAATCTAAAAGTTTCACCTGAGGCTGTAGGTGTTAAAAATAAAGGTAACCTAAAGCTGGCCTTTCTGTGATTGATACTAATATAATAATCATATGGACCACAGAACCACATAAAAAGTTAGATTTTGAAATTGTTATAAAATTGATTTTTTAATTTTAAATATGCCAAAACATAAATATTTGTTCTCTTTAAAGCATTTCTATACTGGAAGTATATATCTGTGACCAAAAAAGGTTATGCAAATAAAGTCAATGTAAGGACTAAGCCTGTATACACTCCTCCCGTAAAGAAATTATTCTGATAAGTTAAAGCAAATTGAACAATAAATAGATCTGCTTTATCATGGCTTCAAATTAAAAAAATATTAAATTATGCAATCTTAATTATTCTTTTTTTAATATATCTGAGATTTTTTAAATACAAAATATAATTAAAATAGTCCTCATTATAATTGAATTATAAACCTTGTTGTAAAACAATTATTATAAAAAAAATGAAATGACAATACCTGTTTAAAATTAGTTTCTTCAGATTTAATTTTTAACAACACTACTTCAACAATATCATTTTCAATACTAGGATTTCCATAGAATGCCTAAAAGTAATTTTTGCATTAGCTTATAATACAGGAGACAATATCTCAGAATGTGATTTAAAAGATAAATGCAGTGTTTTTACTTCTCAGGGAAAATTTTTAAATGCTATTCATGTAAGATATAACAACAACAACAAAAAAAAAAAAAAAAAATCTGTATGAAACTTTATTAAGTTGTTTTTTTTTTAATGCTACCCATTAGAAATAAAATCTTCATAAAATCTGATAAAGCTTAACTCTTTCCATTTATTTTGGAAAACAATCTAGAAAATGTTACTTCTTCAGCTTAACAATTTTAACAAACTCATTTTTAAAAGTTTTTATTGTTACACATGCCTACAGTCTACACACATACCTATACAGTAGCATTTTATAAATTATTGGTGCAGGTAACAAATAATTATGTGAGATGCAATTTCAAGTGATTTCTTATAATAATTATCTTTTCCCTAATTTCTAAAACTGAATAGTTACACTTTTTTTTATTTGATCAGATGTATATTCTTGAATGTAAGGAGACAATTCCTTACAATTTTAAGGTTTCATTTCCATACAATTTTATAAATGCTTTAAAATGAATACTTTTTTCCATAATTTTACTTGAAATACAATAGAAAATCTGAGATTTGGACTCGTCAGGAGTTACAAGAGTTTGAAATTTTCTGGATATTAGATGATTTATTTAAATCTGATGACATGTAGGTATTATAAAATTAAAAATATGAAATAATAACTATGAAATAATGTAGCATTTATGACCTTAAAGAAATCAAAATTTACAACAACAACAAACAAACACATACACAAAAGGAAGGAGGCTCACTATTTATTTGTTTGTTTTATTAAACATTTCTTTCAATGTTAGTTGTTTCAATTTTTGTGCTAATACTTTCTCCTTACTTTTACAGACCACACAGTTTTGTTCTCAGTTACAAAGTTCTATTGTTCAAGTCCTATAACTGCCCAACTGAGAATTTCTACTCGATCAAATTTTTTCTGCTGTAACAACTTATAGGTCCCATTCTTCACTATCAGTAGAGATATTTTCTGGATTTAGAACCCTACTACAGATTTTGCCATCTGTTAGTTGATTGATGATTGGGGCATTGTCATCACAATGAAAAATTTCTGTTATATCATCTTGATTTTTTACCACTTCTCAACCAATTCCAATAAGTGAAGAATTTAGCCTTTTGTTGGCGATATCTGCAAGTCTTCAAATTCAAGGCAATCATAAAACATGGCTAGGATCCACTATTGGCGAAGTATCATGAGTCTAACGACTAAAGACATGTTGTTCCGCTAAATTCTGTCTTGTTTCTATTTAGCTCTGATAAAGGTCGAATTATGTTAGTTATTTATTTTACTTACACATATTTCCCTCACATGCTTAAGGGATATCTGAGGCTTGAATAAATAAATTCCGACATTCACTTAAGGCTTAGCTGAACAACAAATCAGTCATTATTTTCTTTTGTATATGGAAAGAAATTTCTGTTAAATTTTTACTTATAAATACACTCAAATGCTTTGCAGCACAAATAGTCTGTAATCATTGTCAAGCGTAATGTCAACAAAAAAGGTTGCTATGCTGGTTGGTATTCAGTTATTAATATTTTTAAAAATAAAAATTGCTTAGATATCACTGCGAGTCATTTTTCTAGCTACTATGTGTTGACAGTCATGTGGTGATGAAAGCAAAAAATAATAAATGATGATCCACCAGGTTAGAATCAGGGATCTAAATTATTCAGTAAGTGTAAAATCAGCAATGTTTTGATGTAAAATATTTTGGTCTGAGAAAGCCAAAAGATGCCTACAGAGCCAAATTACTGATCATACAGACTTGTGTTAATAAATAATTTTTTTTTAATATGCAGATATTTTACTCGGGGCCGAAGTAAAATTAAGGATGAGGACTCTCCACATGTTTCATTATGAAAAAATATCAAAAATGCATGTGTAAAGCATACAAAAACTGTTTTTCTATAAAAAGGGGGGGAGGGTTATTGGTGGTCTGAACTTTAGATCAGTTCGGATACTGTATATCTGGATTTCAGACTTTGTACTGTACCAGTTTTTGAAACAAGTATTTTATTTATATTTTAAGAAATATTACAGGGAAAAAAATTCCATGGTAAACAAAACTAAGAATAGCTTTACAGATAACTGAAAGTTGTTTTAAGTAACCTTTTATAAGAATTAAGAAAATATTTATTATATACATGAAAGGATTGCTCAAGAAAGCACTGTGAAAAGTCAAAACTTATATGATTTTAAATACTTTAAAATCACATAAGTTTTGACTTTTTGCATATACTTAACATATGTAAATATTTAAACATGCAAGTTGTACAAGCATGATTTTAAACATTTTAAAGTCATGCTTGTACAACTTGCATGTTTAGGTATTTAATCATGAATGGTATTAATTTATGAGTATTATTTAGTTATTTAATGTTGACCTGAGCTCATTTTAAATGATGCGTACAGACAAATAAATATATAAATACTAAGACTAGGTAAGTAAATAAAAAAAAATTATGAGTTTCCCTCCATAAACCAAATAAAAACTCATTTAGTATTTAATAATAATAATAAAAAAAAATAAATAAATAAAATAAAAAGCTATTTCAAAGAAAAAATGTCTACTTTAACAAAATGGATATCTTGTTTTGATAAAGTTTCAAACATAAATTATAGGACCGAAAATGTATCAATACCTGAATTAGTGCAACAGTAGACCTTTTTAAATCTTCAAGACATAGGGAAGAATTCTTATTTGTAAAATTTTCACTGATAGTGTGTATTAACTCATCTACTTTTTTCCTATCAGGATCATTAGACAAGTTCTGATACATCTATAATAAAGGAGAAAAGCATAATATATGCTAATTAGATTTTGAAAGTTATATCATGAAAAAAATTTCCCCCTTCCCAATATCAAATCAAAAAACATACATTTACATAATTAGATACCAAATATCAAAAATGTTTTATGAAATTTCAGACTTTCCTCATTACAATAAAATATTAGTCCTAGAAAGATTAAGCATATTATCAGTGACTACCTTGATAATATTGGGTTGGTCCATAAGTTCTAGTTTTTTTTTTTTTTTTTTTTTTTAAGTGAAAATTTTGTGTAAAAAATAAAATGTCTTGGCAATGTGTTTAATGTTATTCAATAGAGAATTATGTGCTCTACAAAATAACGTGTTTAGTTTTTTTTTTAATGCTGATATAGCTTTTGTTCTTTTCATGTCATTAAATTGAAGTTTCAAGTCAACAAAAAAGGACATTTTTGACACTTAACTGCGGCGCCAAAGCCACAGAAGCTGCTCGACTCATGACTTGTGAAGTGTATGTCGAAGAAGTGATGCCTCTTAGGATAGCTCAAAATTGGTTTAAGCTATTCAAAGATGGTGATTTCTACTGTCAAAGCATTGAACATTTTGTTGAATGTTAGGAAGAAGTTGTAGAGACCAACGGCGAATACATTATTGATCGATTTGTTGTTCATGACTTATTTATTTTTGTGGAAACCTCAACTTATTTTTATAATTTAAAACATCTTTCTTACATGCACCAAGAAAGCTCAGATCCCCTAACCTTAACTTCTAGAATCAATGCCTGGCAGTATGTTTGTTCATAGCATCCTCTCTAAATGCCTGACCTATTTCAAAACTTGACATGGCTGCTGGCAGGCCCACCTTAAAGGTTATACAGCAAACTAGAAATTATCTGCTTCAATACCTTCACATCTCTGCAACAATGAAGAACTTGTAATTGCTGGGTGTGTACAAAATGCCTGTTTTAGTGCAAGTCAATGGTAACACTGAACTTCCATTGTTTTTCCAACTACAAGTCACTTCATTTCCTGAATGTGAATGCTTCATCAATGTCAAAAATGGCAAGAACTTTTTAGATTACATTATATTTGCTTTTATTCATATAGATTATTTATTTATCTTATCATTTATTTTCATTTTAAGTTTTAAAAATAATTTCTCCACTTATATTTGTACTCTAAACTTTTATCCATATAAATAAATGCTGCTTCTTTGGGTTCTTAACATTTTGGTTTTTGAATTCATAGGAATGCTCTGCTTTTGAAAAGTAGAATAAACCTTAAATAATTTATTATGACTTAAAATATGCATAAAGAAGTACCAAATTTCTAATACACAAATGATGATACAGATACAAAATGAAATGTCTTTAGTAAAATATTACAGGAGTTATCAGAAAATACTAGTTAAAATGTGATTATTATTATTTTAAACACGTGTTCTCGATATTTATGCAACAAAATAAAATACCTTAATTTTTTTTAAATTTGTATATACAAGCTTCTTTGTGGCACATCATGTAGTAGATAACAGTTTCATTTTTAAAATGGTGAATTTGCAGTACACAGCATTTTGTGTTTTAGAATATGAGAAGTGTTTATATATTGTTATTGTGCAAAACATACTTTGAAAGCTGTCTATTACAGATCCACCCATAAACATGTTTAGAAAGCAATTCATTACAGATTCATCAAGCCACTATAGCATTTTGATTAATTTTTGCATTTGATTTGAAATATGATAGTATCCAGAATTGAGGACCACTGATTTAAGGCAAAATTCCAGATAGGCAAACATTTCTAATAAAACAATGGATAACGTTACAGAGAGTATGTATAACCACACATAATTTTGTTAAATCAACAAATTGATCTAGCCATAAACTTGGTGTACTGAAGCCAATCATCTGGAATATTTTGCAGTTGATTGAATTAAAATATGTAGTTTGCAATATTTAAAGCTGAAAGATTATGTGTGATATGAATTTTGAAAGTGATGAAAGAAGCATTGCAGGATGACGATTTTGCCATGTAACATACAGCGAGAAAGCAGTATTACATTTGTATGAATGCAAACCATCACCATTTCTGCATATGTGGCAATTAAAATTGCTTTTTTTCCTCACTAAACAATAATGAAATTTGCAAAAAATAAACATCTTCTGCACCATTCATAATTTTTTTTTTTTTTAATTTGAGAGCACTGTATTGGGTATAAATGTGTTGCAGCTGAATTATCTCTTGAAGTGAAAGAGAGTCAGAAAACTTCATATTTCAATAAGGTAAGTTTCCATCTGATTGAAAAAGTCAGCTTTCATGACACTAGACTGGTCAAATAGGGAAAATGACATAACATTTTCCATATGGCTACCACAGTCTGTCCATCTAATACTTAAGAAAATTGTTTCTTTGAGGGCATTTTAAAACCAATGTTTATGTGCTCTCATTTCAAACTATATTTGATGGGGTCCAGGACCTCATCACAGTTGTTTTCATGACCATTACTGAAGAAATATCATAATGCATAAAGGCACAATTGGAGTACAGGTTGGACATGTATCCTATAAAAACAGAAGCACAGTGTGACGAATAAATCTCACAGATTTTTACTTCATTTCAAGTAGTATTCTTTTTTAAAATTTCCCCTACTTTATGAAATATAATGTTTTGCAAGCTGTTGAATCATTTATAATAATTTTGTACGTATTATTTGTTAATACAGGGCTATGGATCTTAAAGTAATTTTTAAATAACACTATAACAGGAATTACATTTGTACAAGCAATATTTTCTCTAACTTTTGTGAATGCATAATTCTACATTAATATTTGCAAAATTGGATAGGATTTTCCATGCAAATTAACTACATGATATCAACATACAAAAAATTTATGATGAGTCACTGTACTAACAGAATTTTTATATCTTTTCTTAGAAAAGTATCCACTAAGAGAAAATTATATCAAGCCTTTTTTACATCTGTATATGTTTCTATCATTATATTATACAGTCAAAAGTCGTTAATTCGGACACCCATAATCCGGACCTCAAAGCTAAAAGCTTTCTGCGCATGCGCCGAATTGACGCATGCGCATAGGCGTTTTACGCGTGCGCGCAAGACATTTACGACTGCGCATATGCGTCTGCGACGTTTTCGCGTGCGCGTTTAATGTATAACGGACGGTATAAGCTAAAATTATCTAATTATCTATTTCACTTAATGTTGATGATTGCGTTGTTCCTTAATCTTCGAAATGGATCCGGCTTATTATTTTTTGCAGACTGTAAGAGCAATTTTATAAAAGTAAGCTTGAACTTTCGATTATGTCAAATAGAATTTCCGATGCTGGAGCTCCCAAAGGATCTAGAAAACGAAAGTATGCTTCGATGTCCATCAAACAAAAAACGAATTGCTACAAAAAATGGATAAAGGCATATCCTTTGTTTATCTAACCGTTCCGAAATCTGTTTATCAATTTCACGCTGCTCTGCGCGGAGGGGGGGGGATGTTGCGGCGCACAATGAACTGGAAGTTGATCTGTCAGCACTATCGTTATCTTCAGAGCAGATGTTTTTATTTTATTCGGCTTATAATTCCTTACTAAATGTAGTATTTAATTTCGATGTACTCCGTCTTTGATATGATTTAAATCAAATTCCTCGTCATTATAAATATCACGAATACAAATCAAATAGTTTTCTGGTTGCAATTTTCTAATTTCGGCTATGCGTAAGGTATGCTTTACGCATGCGCACGTTGAAAGAAATGTTTAAAGTAAACAAATAAATATTAAGCTTCTTTTTTTGTAAATTTTGATACCCTTTAGATCATAATTGCTCATTATTTTATAAATTACGGTTTCATATTTTTAATTTTATAATTTCTGCATGCCATTTTACCAGATTTAAACTGATGATCTATAATCCGGAATCGCCGAAGTCCCGATGAGTCCGGATTAAAGACTTTTGACTGTATTATTATTAACAAAGGACGAGTGGGTCCTGTTGACGAGGGTAATCAGGTTTCCAGTCGAGGGCAATTAATCAACGTTTTTGCTTATGGCTGCACATGCTGAGCGGATGTCTGATGAATTGTCTCGAAAATTTCCCCACAGGATTCAAAATTTTCTTCCTGCAGTGCTCTTCATTGAAAGGGCGGGAGTTCAAAATATAGATAGATATCCACTATCTAAGTGAATCACATAAATAATAGAGAAATATACTATGGCATACCACTCCAATTATTTTTTTGGAGAATTTATTTTTTTATTATTTTTTGCTCAGGAGAACCAATATAATAAAATGAAGCTGCTTTATCTCATCCATACACTCAATAAACAATGTTCAAATACATTAATCAAAATTCTGTTCAACTACTAACTACTTGGAATGAATGATTGCCATCGTAGAAAATTGCAGTTTCAGAGAATAACTAATGAACTCCAGAAATAGCATGACATAAAATAAAGAGCTAACTTTCATTTCAAGAACTGAATAATCAATCAGATTAACATACTCCTGTAAATCATCTCCATTCAGAATTCATTAATGATTGGAAATGAAGAGAAAAATTATTCACTTGATCTAATGATCTGGAGTCAATTGTAAGCAGGTCATTTTCTGACATTTCATTCTGACATTTGTAATTCTTGGCTATAATCAAAATATGGATTTCAAGTTATCTTCAGAAATTTTTGCTTTAATTATCATTTACCACCGTCTGACAACTTTTTAACTCAGCTATATTTTAGAAAAGTAAATTAATATAATGTGCTTTTTAACACATAATTGTAACTTATAATAGTATTCCAGCAATATAAGTAATTTTGGTGTTCAAGTTATCATAGCTGCTATTACTTATGTATGGATAATCTATAATTAAGCATTCTAAAATTAAATTTTTTTTAACAATCCAAATTTTTAAAGAATGTATTTTACATATAACAATGTAAACAGTACAATGTTAAAATTAATGAAAATAACAAGATTTTTAAAAAAATTATATAACACTGTGATTTTGAGAATATAATATTTGTAATTAAATATCTTTTAAAATTAATAATAATAATTATTATTACACCACTATAAAGTAGCAAAAAAATTTTTAAATAGGAAACATTTAAAAGCTATAAAATAAATAAATAAATTTAAAAAAAACAACCTGCTCACAGTACTGAGCCCATAAAAATGCATTAGTAATATTTTCTTCATTCCAGTTGGAAGAACAGCATGCTTTAGGTAAGATAATTTCATGAAAGTGTTGAATATTTTTCAAAATTTCTGTGGTGTCCATCCATCTGCAAATTCAGCTGAAATATTTATGAAAAATAAATATATGTAAGCATTAATATTTATTTTAAATTCAGCTCTGATACCTGTAAACCTAACATAGAAAAACCATTCCAATATTTATTGCTTAAGCATTCAAAAATGTTGACTATAGACTTTATTTCTTTAAATATTGATCCTAGAGTCATATTTCCAATTACAAAAAGCCCACCAGCAGCCAAGTGGTAAAGTCCTGAACACTGATAGTTTGAAATCTGGTGAACAAGTTAGTCGCATGGCTGCTTATGGAGTTTTCCCCATCTGTAATGTGGATCTGAGCCGGTTTTCCTTAGAAAGTCCTCCCTGAAGGCATCCCTTCTCTTAGGAAGATAGCCCAGGGTTCTTTGCCATAGTTAAATAAACTAAACCAAACCAATTGCAAACTTTTAGAAGAAAGAATTTGTAAATACAAAATTAAACTTTTTTGTATGATCTCAGCATCACAATAAATAAATAAAATTAGAGAAACATTTGTTATGCTTGAGTAGCTAAATGCAGAAATTTCTGCTCTTTACATGCAAAATTTAGTGAGATAGCCATGTTTTAAATTTTACTGAGACTGGCTAAAATGTTAATAATCGTTTTACCCAATACAGAAGAACCATAAATGTCAAAATGAGTTACTTTTGTTCCATTGCTCCCTAAAGCTTGAAGTACATTTAATTTCAATGAGAAATATGCAGTGAAAAGTGATCAAAGTTAGCAAACTTAATTTTTAATATCTTCAAGAATTTTGCACATAAAGGTATTTAAAAATTTTATATTTAACTTATTAAAGCATAATTGATTTTTAACTGAATGTAATTTTTTTCTCAACAGGGATTGCATAAAAAGTTAGATTTTATACTTACATTTTCTTTTCATCTATGATGTTGAAACGGTTCTTGCAAAATACTCTTCCTTATTTTGAGAATCTTCATGATTCAAACCACAAATCTAGGATCAACATTTATGGAAATAAAAAGCCCACAGCCCCTTTTTTGTACAGAACTCTGATGCAAATAAGTGCCACCTTGGATAATTTCAAATTATATCAGCAAAAGCTCCATTATTTTGAATTAAAAAAAAGTCTATTTATATAAAATAGAACCGTTTTTAAGCCTCTATTAAAAAAAAGAAAAATTTATATTCATTCTCATTTTTGTAGAACATAAGTTATCCTATAGCTAATGCATACAATAATTTTAAGAACAAAAATACGCAATGTTTAATGGAGAAGTCAAACAACAAGAATCATCGTTACATTTGTAAATTCTGCAGGACTAGTTTCAATGGTTCTGTAATTAAACTATTGAAACTAGTCCCGCAAAATTTACAAATATAATGCTGATTCTTGTTGTTTAATTTCTCCAATAAGCATTATATTTTAGTTTAAATTATGCAATGCTGAATTTATATTTTACTCCTAGAGGGAAAAAATATTTTACAGTACATCTATTGTTTCAAGCTGTTGTATAGTACCCATTTATTTCAACATCAAAATATTTACAGATGTAATATCCTCTTACTATTCAATGTAGAAAAGTTCTGTCTCAGTGGCACTTAAATTATATGAGGAACATATCTTGTGTGGTTTTAGTAAGCTCAGTTCAGAGATCAGGATTTTTATGAATTATTATACTTACAGATTTGCGGTTGAAAATTGCAGTTATTCAGGGTTCTTTTATATACACATTTGAAGGTATCCAAATTATATACGAATGACAACAAGTAAAAAATTAATTTAAAAAATTAACTTCAAAGATATTTTTAGTTCGATAGTATATCTTGCAATAATTCCAATAGTCATAAATAATTACTTCATATAGCATCCACATTATAAAATCGCCATAAAAGTATTGTCTATGAAAGCAGCATGTTTATCAGTTCTAACTACTTTCTTCATAAATTAGAAATGAAATTTATCAGATAAAACTTGAAACATCATGAAATTCCACATAGCTAAATTCTTTGCATTAAAACTTATTTAAAATTTCAGATAAGCTTGGTGTTATAAAGGACACATTTTCCTAACATTTTATTGCCTTGAAATAAATAACATATTTGATGTGATGCTCTGGAAGTGAATAACTGTTAAATTAAATGAAGGTTACAATGACACTGATTTAAACAGAAAAGGAACTTTCAAGAAAAAGATTTCTAATTTAAATTTGATTTAGAATATTCATAAATTTATATATATTCATAAATTATATATGTATATTTTCCATTAATTAAAGTGGAAAGCAAGTTTTATAATCACTAGTAATAAAACTATGACCAAAGAAAATTTTTATTTCTTAGACATTTTGGAAGGAAACTGGAAAAGTATGACATAGAAAAGGTATACCAGAATGAAATGATGTATATTTATTCTTATATATTTAATTTCAAAAGGCAACAGTTTGTTTTTCATTGCTGATCTAGTAAAGCAAACTACAATACAGTGTACTAGCTAAAAAACTGAATAAAACAATTTAGTACTATTTTTACTATCAGATAGCTGTATGAAACTTCTTCAAAGCAGTAAAATAAAAAAAAATTAAAAAAAAAAAAAATCATGTCTTTATAAAATAAAATGAAAAATAACTTCTGTTGAAAAAGATGAAGTGGCTTGCTTTACTTAAAAAAATTCAATAGACAAAACATACATGCACATACAAATATATATATATATATATATATAATGTCATATGTTTGAATGTGCTGTTGATAATGAATGTTCTATACTTAATCAGTTTATTCATTTATTATCATTTTGTAATAAAATTACAGAATCTCAAAAGTTTATATCAGATAGTGACACAGTTTACTTTAAAAGGGAAATTCCTTATTCTGTCTGTTTTTTGTATATCTCAGTGGTTCTTTAACAAGCTTAAAAAAAAAAAAAAAAACCTGCATAGTTACCATTTGTTTTGCATAAACATCAAATATACTAAATATTATTTCATAACTCTTATTACTGAAAAAAACCATACATAGTACAAGTATCAATGAATTTTCAGATTGTTAGACAATTTTGTGAATAAGACTTTTCATGATAACAAATAGTTAAAGATATAGCCACATACTAAAAATAATAAATGCTGAGAAATTAAAATACGAGGACAGGTTTTTAACAAAATAACTGTGGAATTTCAGATTTAAATTACGGATGGGCCAGAAAATTCACTATTTTTTTAAAAAAATAACTTAAACAGAATAACCAAGCATTAATAGTAATCATATTAGGAAAATTAGTTTCAAAACTTTTTTAATTGAAAAATTATGATTTACATTAAGTATAATGTAAATCATAATTTTTCAATATCAGTCATGCTCATTTCATCATATAATGCACCAATAAAGAGCAAAAAATCCTATCTTAAAGCAAAACAAAAAAACTTCAGATTTTATGCTGGGAAGGAAAAAAAACAACAACACTAAATTAGAATAATATTTTTACCAGTAAAATTAGGAGTAAGTGAATAAAGGTCCAAATCAAGCATAAAAGTAAAACAAAGAATTGCAAAAGATAGAAAAACAAAAAAATGATTTTACAAAATAGTCAGGCAAAGTACATTTTACATATTCATGAGTACTTAACAAATACTAAAACTATCTCAGCAGCTTACACAATGAAGATTAGATGTATTCATACATATGAATAGTTTATTTTATAAAATTATATTAATTTTAAATTACAACATATTTTATGTTCATTGCCTTCTACATAAATACAACACATACATTTCATACTTAATAAAAATATTTTTACAAGTAAAACTTATTTCACACGTGAAGATAAAAATAAAATTTACACGGAAATTAATAGTATATAATTTTAATACAATTTTTTTATATTAAAATTGAGGGAAAAGATTCACATCAATATTAGATTCACTCATGCTCATTTCATGAAATATGTAGATACAAACAGATAACAATGCAACAATTTTTACAATAGAGTTTTCCAAAACTATTATGAAAACCTTATAACTGACTTCAAATTAGCTGATTTCATGATAACCAGGATATGAATACGTAAAGCAAATACTCTATTTGTAGAGTAACATTTGATAATTCTGAACTGAAATGAAAATAAGAGAAAAGAAACAGGCTACATAATTTTTAGAAGAAATCCAGAAAAACTGATCTAAAAACTTTTCTTACAAAGCTAGTTAATTGTTTCTTCTACAATATAATCTTAACTACTACACTGAAGTGACAAAAGTCATGGGATAGCAATATGCAAATATACAGATGGCAGTAGTATTGCATAGAAAATGTATAAATGTGAAGTGCTTTGGCAGGGCTTTCATTTGTGTTAAGTTATTCATGTGAAGAGGCTTTGACGTGATTATGGCCGCACGATGAGAATTAACAGACTTTGAACATGGAATGGTAGTTGGAGCTAGACGCATGGGTCATTCCATTTTGAATATCGTTAAGGAATTCAACATTTCGAGATCCACAATGTCAAGAGTGTGCCGAGAGTATCTAATTTCAGGCATAACATCCCACCATGGACAGCGCAGTGGCCGACCACCTGCACTTAACAACCGAGACCAGCGACGTCTGCGTAGAGTTGTCAATGTTCACGGACAAGCAACACTGGATCAAATAACCGCAGAAATCAATGTGGGACGTACGAGGGACGTGTCTGATAGGACAGTACGGCGAAATTTGTCTTCCTTGGGCTATGCCAGCAGAAGACCGACTCGAGTGCCTTTACTGACAGCACGACATCGCCTGCAGCAACTCTCGTGGGCTTGTGAGCATATCGGTTGGTCCCTAAATGAATGGAAAACCGTGGCTTGGTCAGATGAGTCACGATTTCAGTTGGTAAGAGCTGATGGTAAGGTTCGAGTGTGGCACAGACCCCACGAAGCCATAGACCCAAGTTGTCAACAAGGCACTGTTCAAGCTGGTGGTGGTTCCATAATGGTCTGGGCTGTTTTTACATGACATGGACTTGGTCCTCTGGTGCAACTGAACCGATCATTGACTGGAAATGGATACCTTCAGCTACTTGGAGATCACTTACAGCCATTCATGATGGACTTCACGTACTCAAACAATGATGGGATTTTTATGGATGACAATGCGCCATGTTAATGGGCCACAATTGTTCGCAATTGGTTAAAAGAACATTCTGGACAATTCCAGCGAATGATCTGGACACCTAGATTGGCCGACATGAATTCCATCGAGCATTTATGGGACATCACCGAGAGGTCAGTTCGTGCCCAAAACCCTGCACCATCAACCCTTTCACAATTATGGACCTCTATTCCTGCAGGGGACTTCCAACAACTTGTTGAGTCCATGCCACATCGAGTTGCTGCACTTCGCCGGGCAAAAGGAGGACCGACAAAATATTAGGAGGCCATGACTTTTGTCACTTCAGTGTATATGTTTAAAATTAAATTAATCCAATCCAAGATTCTTTCATTTAAAATGTGTCAAGGATCAAAGAAATTTCATTTAATAGAAGCAAAATACAAAGCACATTACTTAGCTCTGTCCCAATTTTGATTGAAAACTCACAGAATAGAATCCAAAGATCTAATGGCCTCCTTCTCTTAATTCAATCTTTCCATAAGCTTGTAATATCAATGTAATTTAAATGTCCCATAAGCTTGTAATATCAATGTTATTTAAATGTCCCATATCACAAAGACAATATAGTCAGGAACATCAATGTTTATCTCACATTTAAACCCAGTCCATTAATGCACAGCCAGCTTTTGCTGACAACTCCAACAAACAGGAAAGTAAAAGGCTTTCTTGTGACCAAAATACTACTAAAAATAATAATTTAAAGCAATTATTAGTTGTAAATATTTCCAGTTTTTAGCAAAAGTGTTTTAAGAGTTGAAGATAAGCTATAAATAAACTTAGAAATATTTTTTTTGACCCAGATAGAATGATAGTAGTACAATCAAAATCCTTAAACTGACTAGCATTTCTAAGAACATAAAATATATATTTATATACATAATTATTACTTTTGCTAGAAAAATTCCAGAACTGATGACCCCATCAGTAGTCAAGACCACTGAATAATGGCAGTTCAAGCTGGGTTCAATCCCAGATGAATATGCTGGATGCATAATAGCATTTCGTAGTTGTGAATATGGGCCAGTTTTTCTTAGAAAATCCTCTCCTTAGACATATAATCCTCAAGTGCTTTGCTGCATTCAAGTAACCTAATCTAAACCAGATCTGATGATGCCACAATATTTAATTCAGAAATTAACACTCCTTTATTTTGTGTATTATCTATACACAACTGACAGAGCTTCTGAAGATCTCAGAAGCAAGCAGCAGCAAGAGCCTTTCGGGAAATATTCTCAGCACATTCATCACAGCTTTCAAGTTATTACTGCAATACCTTCACATCGCTTTCCTTTCAGTGTCATTTTTATGCAGAAAAATAAATGTAAAAGCAGACATACAATGTTTAACTAGATACTTTTCTACCGATACCATTCTTGGAGACATTCAAAATTCAAGCTGCCAATGCCGAATGGCTGAAACAAATGTTCAGTACTTCCAACATAAAATTTATGATTCTTTTTTTTTTGGGGGGGGGGATCTTTGAGACACTATTTCATTGTACATCATAAGTCGTACATAAATAAATATGGATTCATTCTGGTGCTTTTCAATAGTTTAAATGAAAGTTGTTCTGGCTTTCTTCTGCTTCTCTGCCAGCGCATGACTTTTGAATTAAGCACCCATTTTCCACAGATATAATATACTGCATTTACTTGCATGCTTTTTATTTATTTATTTATTTAATACTTTTAGCTTATGCTCTGTTTCAATAGTTCTTGATTTTTAATATCCATTTCAAAATATAAAATGTATTTTGCAATTCCCGTATAGTACCAAAATTGTAATCAATAATGATTAATACAGTACAAAGTATGAAATCCAGACTCGTTGGAACTTCGGCGATTCCTGATTTGGGATTTTTCCAGATATCAGTTTCCAGATATCAGATCATCAGTTTAAATCTAGTAAGATGGCATGTAGAAATTATAAAATTAAAAATATGAAATCGTGATTTATGAAATAATGAAGTATTTATGATCTAAAGGGCATCAAAATTTACAAAAAAAAAAAAAAAAAAAAAAGCTTAATATTTATTTGTTTACCTTATTAAACATTTCTTTCAATGTAAGTTGTTTAAGTTGCTTCGTTTTTTTGTGCTAATACTTTCCCTTTGCTAGGGACACAACTTTTTGGGCTAATTCTGTAGACAAACATAATCTCTTGTTTAGTTACATCGTTGAAGTCCTGTAACTATTGTGTCGAGAATTCCGACTAACTTGTCAATCGGAATTTTCTCATTTCCAGTAACTTCTCTGTCACTTTCTTCACTATCGGTAGCAGTATTTTCTGGATCTAGGACCATACTACAGATTTCGCCATTCATTAATTGATTGATGACTGAGAAGCATTGTAATTACAATGAAAAACTTATTTTATATCATCTTCATTTATTACTGCTTCTACATTTCTTTACAAAAGCCGTTAATTGGAAAATTTTACCTTTGTTTTGCAATATCTGAAAAACCTTTAAAATTAGTGGCTATCATCATCAAATTTAGCTATAATTCACTATACATCATAAGCTTGGCAACTAACAACAAGTTGTTCCGTTAAATTGTATCTTGCTTCTATTGTGCACTGAGACAATTAAGCCTGAATTGCATTAGTTATTTATTATACTCATGTCTATTTCTTGCGCATGCTTAAGGCTTATCAGAGTTCTGAATAAGTAAATTCCCACATATATTTCAGCCCTATTGAGGGCCGGCGCTATATATCTTACCGCCAGATGCAGTCTCTGTGGGTCCTAAATTCTGCGACTCAGTGCAGCCATACAAGCCCTGGCGCTCGTTCTGGGTTTATGTGAATAACAAATCAGTTATTATCAATTCAAATAGCCTTAAATGTAATCTTTGGATCTATGAGTATCATCAACAAAATCTATATTTAGCATATGGAAAGAAATTTTTCATAAATTTTTCCTCATCAACATTTTTAGCGCATTTAATTTAAATCTGTAATCATCGCCAAGCGTAATGTCAACATAAAAGGGTAACATACTCCTTTATTAATCAATTACTAACATAAAAAATTGTTTAGGCATCACTACATGAGTCATTACTCAAGTTGTCATGTTTTAATAAACATGCGGTGATGAAAGGAAAGTATAATAAATAATGATTTGCCAGGTTGGCATTAGATCAATGACATATTTATGTATGTTTTGGTATGAAATGTGTGCCAAGCAGATGCGCAGCTATGGAGCCAAATTGCTGATTGTACAAATTTATGCTAAAATGATTGTTTCTTCAATAACAAGGTATTTTATTTGGTGCCGAAGTGAAATTAAGAATCGGGACTCTACAGATGTTTTATTATGTGCAGAAGGGGGGGGGAATTAGATGCACATGCATAAAACCTACATGAAAAACATTGTTGGTGGTTTTGACATTCGGATTTTAGATCATTCCAGATAATGGATGTCCGGATTTCGAACTTTGTAACGAAAAATATTATCAGAAAAAAAATTGTATCATCAATGATAAATTATTTAAGAAGACTGATATGATCTGTCTTTTTACAATTAAATTACCTTAAATAAAACTGAAAATAAAGAGAATGCAGTACAAAGGTATAACAGTAGAAATTTTGTGCGTTTAATATATACATTTAGTATACATATTAAAAGAATAAATTTAACATTATGATTACAATAAGCATAATTTCTGATACAAACTTTTCAAAGGTAATACAGTACAAAGTCTTTAATCCGGACTCGTCGGGACTTCGGTGATTCCGGATTAGTTTTTTTTTTTTTTTTTTTTTTTTTTTCTCTGGATTATAGATCATCAATTTAAATCTGGTAAGATGGCATGCCGAAATTATAAAATAAAAAATATGAAACCATAATTTATGAAATAAAGAGAAATTATGATCTAAAGGGTATTAAAATTTACAACAAAAAAAGCTTAATATTTATTTGTTTACTTTATTAAACATTTCTTTCAATGTAAGTTGTTTAAGTTGCTTCGTTTTATGTGCTAATACTTTCTCTTTAATTCTATAAACAGACATAATTTCTTGTTCAAATACAAAATTCCGCTGTTCAAGTCCTGTAATTGCTGTGCCGAGAATACCAACTAACTTGTCAATCGAAATTTTTTTCGTTTTCACTAACCTCTCTGTCACTTTTTCTTCATGCCTTTATCCATTTTTTGCAGCAATTCCACTTTTTGTTTGATGGGCATCAAAACATGCTTTCTCTTTGTAGATCCTTTGGCAGCTCCAGAATCGGAAACTCTTTTTGATACAATCGAAAGTTCAAGCTTACTTCTTATAAAATTGCTCTAACAGTCTGCAAAAAAAAAAAAAAAAAAAAAAAAAAAAAAAAAAAAAAAAAAAAAAAAAGCCGGATCCAATTAGAAGATTAAGGAACAATGCAATCTGCAACATTAACTGAAATAGATAAGTAGATAATTTTAGCCTAGCTTATACCATCTGTTATACATTAATGCGTAATTGCTACGCATGCGCAGAAAGTTTGTAGCTTTGACGTCCGGATTAAAGAATTTGTACTGTATAAAACAATTAACGTATACATTCTTGTGCTGCTAATAATTAAATGCCACTAAAAAATGTAACTATGCATCCACTTTTACATGAAGGCTTAGAAAAGCATTTAACATGTGAAACGTGTAAATGGCGTTTCAAAGATTCTTACATCTAAATTAAACTGTACAATTTCAATCCATATGTACATTATATATTAAAAAACTATTTCTCTTATAAAAATAAACATGAATACTTTGATACAAATTTGCATTAGATGCATTTAAATATAAGAATTCTTGAGCTTTTTAAAAGAAAAAAGATATTATTTGAATAAACATTGAATTATTAATTTACACAAACACTTAATTTATAGAATCCTATTAAATATTGGCATAATTATCTCTCAATATGTAATATAATATTCAAATACAGTTTTCAGAAACAAATGTAACATTGTCAATTGATTTGGGACACATTTGAGCAATAAAATCAGCATCCAAATTCATGACAGTTAACACCCTGGAACTTGATTTTCATTCCATAAGTTTCAATTTAGATGATATAAGGTAGTTTAAGCTATAAATGCTTGTTCTTTTCACTTTCTGTAAAGCAGAAAAATATAAAATTTAAAAATAACTCTAAGAAATACTTTCATAAAACTGTATTTCAATAACTCAGCACAACAGAAAGAATAAAATAATTAAAATTCAAAATTTAATTGACTTACATTTCTATGAAATTTTTTTAAACATTTCTCTTTATTTTCACACTTTACACTAAAGAACTAAATATGTTTATTTTGTATACATTTTAATTCAGATATGCATTTAATTTGTTAATATAGTAGTTTTAATACAAATAATTTTCTAGGAATATATGACCTTATAATATCTAATAAGAGAAATAAATTCCAGTAAAATTAATTTAGTAAAAGGGTCAGGTTCAAACATTCTCATGTGAATTTTGAAAGCTGTACTCTGCTTCTGAATTTTTTTAATACCTTCTTGAACCATAGCTAATGCTTAACAAGCCTTTTTTTTTTTTTTTAATTACAAGTATTGATTTAAAAACCTGTAAACTACCTCTATTTCTGTTCCCCAATATTTAATAAATGGTGCAAATTTGTACTTGGTTTTGTGAAGGTGTGTTCGAACTAGTTGTAATCTTTGGAAGTATTTACAGTAAAAAAAAATTCTCTAGGACTACAAAGCAAAGATGCAATTTGTGAATTTTGCATTAAATTTGGGAAAAGCAACAACAAAACAGTTGAACAGCTACAGTAATAAAAAATTTAGAAGTACTTCAATATTTCAATAACACAAGCACTTCAAGGTACCCATGAGTGATTAATAAGGCACATTCTTGTAACGTTATTCATTGTGGTTATAGATGTCAGTATGACCAGTGAACAGACAGTGAAATGTGACTACTATGTAAACATCTTGAAAAACATCTATGAGGAGCCATGAGTAAAAAAGATCAAATTTCTGTCAAGATACAGTGCCTTTGCTCTAGTACAATGCCTGGCTGCATACTGCTGTTTTGACATTGGCATCATTGTTTGAAACTGATCTGTCATTTTTAGACTACCTTGCATGTAGATTTGTTTAATAACATGTGATTTCTGGCCAATCTCTACATTTAAAAGGCAATTATGCACTTCCCTCCTGATAAAGATATGAAAAACACTACAGCTGTGTTAAAGAACAGTTAATTTCATGTTTCTGAATCGCTTTAAACTGCTGTGGGATTATTTCTTTCCTCATATTTTTGGCTTGATACTAGATGAAACAGAAATGATTGGAAATAACAAGAAATATTCTCTAATTTCATCAAAAAATCCTCTAAAAATGCTTTGTGAAAGAACAATGTGAGTAAATTTTTATCAATTTCCACAGTTTGGCTGTGCACATCAATTTTCATGTTAGGATGAGATAAGGAAGAAATTCACACACTTCTTTTATACAATTATTCCAATCAACCATTGTGCTGTGATTCATTTGAAACAAGCTTTGGTTTGCAATACTTAATAAATGTTAACTCTTGATACTGTAAGTATATGAATTTACAATTTGGAATAAAAGGAATGCATGATACAACAAATTACAATTGTGTTTGGAATACCTTTTTCTTCTCATCATGAGCAAAACCTGGATGCCTTTTCAACTTTGAGCTGCATTTTAATTCACGAGGTAGTTATTCAACATAGTCTTACTTTGTAAAGCCATCTTTTTCAAAAAGGAAAAAGATATCTACTCCTTAACCTCTTTGCAAATTCCAAGTCATGAAATCCACTGCAGTGTATGTATGCGTGTTTGTGTGTGATACATATACAAGATTAGATAAAATGCATGTTTGTGCAAATAATGATTATGGAGGCAACATCATCTGATGCAGAGGAATATGCCAAAACAAAAAGAGAACCAAGTGGCATGGTTTTAATGGAAAAGAAGCTTAAAGGTTAATTTACTTTACATTTTCAATAATTCAGACTTTCAAAAACATAATTTTTTAATTTTTAAAAAATGTTTTACACTTAAAAACAAAGGCACATGTATGAACACAACTATCTTTCAGTTCCGATTTTATTCTAGATATGAAATTTCAGAAAAATAATTGGAAAACTCAGCCATTTTTGATGTTGCATTATATTTTCAGGAAAATTTGCACATTATTGAGATCTAGCTCAGGTAGCCAAGACTGTATTTTCTGCCAAGGATATAAGATAGTTAAAGACACAGAGCATAGGACTTTTTCTTTAAAACTAAAGTAATTATTATTGAAGAAAATTTTTATTTAAAATATGAATTAAAATTTCAGTTTACTTAGAGATGTGCATCTTCACAACCAGAAAAATTGTATTTGCATTTATTTTTTCACAGAATTCAAATTATGTCACCACATTTTTCCTATTATTAGATATACACATGCATTATATTCTTGATTTTATGAATGCCAGTATAATACGAAATGAATCTGATTTAAGAAGGTCACAGAAAATAACAATGGGCTACTAATTATTACAATGGATTTTTAAATATTTAATATAAAATACCCTACCTTTAGATAATGCAGACTTATATTTTGCAAAGTCAAACTGAGCAAAGGTGATAGTAACAATAACACTATCATCATTTTTTGTCACTTCAGCTGACTTGAAATCACTCAAAACTGGTTCACTGATAGAATTTCGAAAAATCATGTTGTTATATGCATAGGTCTATGATAATATACAGAAAAAAATAAATTAGTCTTATACATTTAATATTACTGACAAAATAAAAATGTACATATATTTTTATTCACATAACAAAATTAAATCTATTTACAGTGCAGCCCTGATAAAAAGTACCAACATAACAAATTGTTTTGTTCTAAGAAGTCTGCTTTTTAAATTTTTAAAATGAAACCCAAACTGTATACATTACTTTTTTCCAGGTATAAAGTTTTTCTTAAAAGGTTTTTCCACTTAAGATGTCTAATCTGTGAAACTACTTTTGTGAAATTATATCTAATAAGTTTTGTTTTCTTTAAAGATAAAAATATTTTAAATATCAACCGAGCTGTCCATGTATACTATAATGCAATCAATCATTACTTGTGTGAATGAAAGACACACATTTCTGAAAATTTCACATGGGTCTCATTTTACAATTTCAATTTAATTTCACGGGCTTCATATGATATAGCCTCATCAGGTAATGGTAGTATCAGTTAACTAAACAATCAAATAAATCAACACATGCATGTAGCCTATACTACAATATGCATACATTTGATGATTAATAAATTCCAACACTTCAGAAAACTGCTGGAATTGCATTAAGTTATATGCTCTATGTTAAGATGGCTCTGTTTAAAATGAGCTACCTTCTAAATTAGTTTTACTGATATCAAAGACTTCATCTTAGTCAATCTTAAATTACAACAAATTTTTAAACACTTAAATGTGATATTTATAAACAATCCAGACATATACTTTTCAAAGTCAAAAGGAGAAAAGTGACGGTAACAGTAACATTTATCATCTTGTCACTTCAACAATTATGTAATAAAATCATCTATAAGTTGCTTCTACAGCAGGGGGTTGTAGATACTTTTAGCCATGGACCAAAAAGATCTTTATTAGTGCATCACACTGGCAAGACCATTGCAAGATGTGATGACGCTTATGACAATATTTTGCAATGTCCCTATTGTTCACCAGGATAAAATTGAAGGAGGAAAACAGCTCTCCCCAGTAGGGGAAAGAAAAAAAGTAGCATTTTATACAGTTAATTTAATATTTTTTACTTTAAAGAAGTCCCAGACAGTGAAGATATGGTCATTACGGCCCTACCTGCTTTTCATTCTTCAGGTCAAAAGTAATTGATTAATTTGGTGCTCTTCTTAGGGAAGGAGGGTATGATTAGGTTACTGGCAATTTGCAGTTTTGCCAAATATGGCAACAACAGGATCTCTTCTTATAAATGATCAAATGACTGACATGCATACCATTTCATTTGTAAATAAAAATTTAGAGTGAAATATTCTTTCCCTAAATTCCCACTTCTGATCAATCTTTTTACCTCAAGAATATTTACATTTAATTGTTTAATTTCTAAATTAAAGCTGCTAGAAATAATGACAGAACTATATCCTTTGGCTACACACATGCTTTCAAACATATCTAGTGATCTCAGCTAGGTTGACCACTAGTATAGCCATGCATCTTAATAAGCATATATACTGAAACTATACATACATGCTTGTGCTGTTGATTTCAGTAGCTTGTGTACAAAATCGGTAAGATAGAGATGAAAATGTTGTTGCACAGGATTTCATAATGAGCCAGAATGCACAATTAAAAGGGCCACATTTGGCCCACAGTCAGCTTTTGACTACCCCAGTTCAACAATCTGAAATCATGCATTTGAACATTAGTAATGCAGCTATTTAAATGTATGATTTCAGACTTTTAGTATTATATATGCGTTATTTTCCATGCATCTTGGGAATACACACTTGAGATCCTAAACTAAGAATCAATACTTCCAAAGAGACACAGAGAAATCCACGAGTTTATTGGGAGAGAAGAATGTGTAGGAGATGGCAAATATATATAGAACAGAAGAAAGAAGATAAAGAGAGGGAAATTTTACAAGATAGATTTCGGTGGAAGACTTAAAGATTTTATTGATTTGGATTTCAATATCATGCTACTGCCAAAGTATACTAATTAAAAAACTCTGTAAGGGGTAAATGGCATTTATTAGAGGAGGATGAAAATAAAGCATTACCTGTCCAAACTTTAACCAATGCTCCTGAAACTGTTCTTGAAGACATTAGAGATGCTGAACAATTTTTGATGGAAAAGTTTTCTGAACTCTGAATTGCCTCCTTGCACTAACATAAATATTTTGTGTATAAACAAGATTAATTCTTTTATTTCCTTACCAAAATATCAGTTACTATTCTGTTAATTTTGATAAGCTTTAAAATACCAGGATAAATAACTTTGCAACTATTAACTTTATGTTAAATGGTATAGGATTTAAGAAATTAACTGCATTTTAAAATATTCAGAAGTACTTAAAAGAGATCTTTTCATTTTATAAAAGCAAGTTTTTACATCATATTTCTTTTGGCTCTCCGATAAATCAACTGAAGAAAGTTGAATGCAATGTCAGATCTTTTTTTACAACAGCATTTGAGTGTTGATATTATTAAATCAACCTATAATTATTAAATCTAATCTATAATAACTTTTGAGTGCTGATATTATTAAATCAATCTTAATGTGCTACTTTTTTCCCAATAATAATGCTCTACATACTTCCCTCTAAGAATTTCCTCCATTTGATAAATTGGGTAAGCCAAAACATTGATACCCTGCTGGTAGCCCAAAAATGGCTGGCTTCCTCATTCTCCAGACATGAATTCCTGCAACTTAAAGTTTAGAAGATTTCTGAAAGAATGTGTCTATGTTTGAATTGAAACCAAACATAACATGACATGTTTCTGCAATTTCTCAAAACATCTTTCATGCTACTGCTGAACATGATATAATTTTAGTAACAAAACAACCTTGAGTTTGGCATACATTTAAGTCAAGATCTCAATCGATTTTGAGGGTAAATAGGGACAGGTCCTTCTTTATCAGGAGAAAAGAAATCTGCAAGACTGGAAAGCAGTAAGTGTAACGATCATATTTAAAGGTTACAGTAAAGCAAAAAGAGAAGACAGTGGTATCTATCAACAAAAATATTAGTGAAATTCAAAAATTAAGTTAATAGAATTTTAAAAGCGTTAGGAAAAACTGGATTGGAAATAAAACCGTTAACTAAACAAGATAAATCTTTGTGAATTGAAAAGTCTCAAGAAAATCCAATCAAGCAATTGAAGAAGTTTTTTGAATGTTTTTTGCAGAAATAAATAAGTCAAAATTATGGTTAAATTTTCAACAATGATTAGCTATAGAAGATTTGTTAATTTCGCCTTTTTGGACATAAGATTCATGTTCCTGAATATTAAACTTTAACGCTATTTTAGTTTAACCAATGTATCTCAAATCACACTGATGCGGTATGTTATAAATTCCCTAAGAATTAAAGTTACAAATGGAAATTTTAAAAGCTGAACCATGGATTTTATTGATAGGTGAAAAAAATGACACAAAAATTGAACTTCTGAAGAATCTGTGCAATTTTATAACTGACAGAAGGATACAATGGAAGCATGACAAGATCTAAGATACATTGACAAAACAGAAAATGGAATTAATTTAATACTCTTTTTAAAAGAAAACAAAGCTACTAATATGCACTATTCTGTCAAATTTACTTAGCAACATTTTTCTAACTATTCATTTTATAGTCCTAAATCCAATGCCTTCTTTAATCTTTTTCTTTTATAAATATTTCCTTAAATGCCTCATAATAAATCTTGAAATTTTGGGAAATAATTAATATATTAAAGAATATAATTTATTGTAGAATTAAAAATATTAGCAGTTATAGATCACATATTAAGACAAATTCTTGAACAAATAATAAAAATAGTGCCTAACTCTGCATAGTTATAATGATACTGGTCCTGATTGAAATATCTTGCCCTGAGATTGGTTGGTTTACCTTAAGGTATGACCTTTTTTGACATAAAGGGCTTATGCTAAAAAAAAACTTCAAACTCCTATGCTAAAATCTGATAATCTCAAGTTTGTGGAATAATGGTATATTATTGCTTAGTGAGAAAATTTTGTTTTTACTTTTGTATAATATGATCCTACTTCTATAATAAAAATATTATTTTGATAAATAGCTAAAAAACATGAAATAACAACCCACTATTCTCTTAACTTATAATACTCTAAATTTCTTTCAACAAAACTAACTAACTCACTGCTCATTTTAATTTTTTTAAAATTAATATTTTGTGTTCATCCATAAATTTTAGACTACTTCAAATGAATATTTTAAAAAGCTCTGATTAATGTAATAAAAAAACCTTTGAGCCAAATATAAGAAAGAATTATTCTTTTATCCAATTTGCATCATTTTTCACAAAATTATGTTTGTGCAAAATAGCGGTATTCCTTTCAGAAATCACTATCACAATAATAAGGCTTACGTAAATTATACACACAATTTCATTACTTCAAGAAAGCTATTTTGAAAGATTAAATACCTTCAGGTGATTGCAAATATAATCCAACTGCTGATGCCAATATCCTCGACCAGGAGAATGATTTGGCAATTTTTTTAAGTCACAAACAGATTTATGTTTATCAGCTTGTTTGCCAATTACTACTGGGCGTGTTTGAACACACTTGCTGACAGTCACTGGAGTACCTTGCACATCAGCATTTTTTACTTCAGGCTTAACCATTATGCTATGATCAGCAAGATTCATATGAGAAAATTCTGGAATGTCCTTAAAAATGAAAAAAAAAAAAAAAAATATTAGAAATTTGAGCCATTACCTAATTTTAATATCAGAATTACAGATAGCATAGGAAGAATTAAAAATAATAGTCAGGGAAGAATTCATTTAAGCATACAGAAACATGGACATGACACATGGTATAGGTCAAAAAGAATTCTTTCAGTTTGTTCTTTTCAAATTAAGATATAATGCAGCCATAATTAAAAAGAGAGTAGCTTGAGGCTCACACAAAATATCTATTCCATCAAACTCAAAATTATTGGTGCAAATACTCTTTGGATTAGAGGGTTTAGATTTTTTTTAACCTCTTCAAAGTTTAGAATATCATCATAAGGATAAAAATGGTACAGCTGTCACATAAATAAGCAGATTTTTAATAATTCTATCTATATTGCATAAATTTAAATAAACTGATGTCGTAATTTGGCAGAAATAAAGAACTTAAAATGAGACATTACTATCTACTAATATTAATATGCTGCTCTGCTTTATGTGACAATGCTTTGTTAGTAAATTATATAAAAAAAAAAAAAAAAGCTGCAATGATTTGCTGTACTTAAGAAATTCTAATGGGTAAAAGATAGTGGTAGAACTCAATCCGTTCACACCAGTTTGGCATATTGCTTACTAAAATATTTTTAGTTTGAAGAAAAATGAAGAAGAAGTATTTGAAGTGATAAATTTTTAATTATAGCATTTATTTAGGCAACTCATTACAAACGTATGCATATAGATAAGACTGCTTCATAAAATTATTTTAATTTAACATAAAATTTTCTTTTCTAAAATACAACCTCTGTCCAGAAAGTTCGGTGAATGATGTCATAATACTCATGGTTGTAAGACTGAGCAACTGGCACATCCTGTGCTGCACATTCAAGTCTGAACCACTCCTTCCTACAAGTGTGTTTATTGTGAGGAAACAGCTCACTGTAGGTACTGTGCATGCGGTCGAAACTCAAAATGGATCAGCGAATGAATATGCTGTGCTGTTTCAGACTTAGAAAATCAGTGAAAGATACTCATGAAATGCAGAACGTGCAAACACGAGTTTACAAAGAAATGACACAAAAGAGAACTGCTGAACAAATTTACAAAGAACATGCTGTCACCTTGAAGTGTGTACATGAATGGTTTAAATGCTTCCGAGAAGGGTGAGACACAACTGAAGCCCCCTTTGATGTGGTTGGCCCGCAACTGCATGCATCCCAAATAATGTACAGAAAGTGAAGGGGCTTTTGGCTCAGGGTCATCATGTGACAGAACAAATGATAGCAGAAAAAGTGAGAATTGGTTGTGAGATGGCCTACCTCATAGTGACCCACAATTTTGGTAAATACAACCTTTGCTTACAGCTTGTAATAGCGGAACAAATGCAACTTCAGTTTGACACCTGTGAAGACTTCATCAATATGGTGGATCGAAACTGAAATTTATCATCATGAGTGACAAGGCACGACCCTGAAGGCAAGCATCAGATTATGGAGTGGCGGTGTCCAGGGTTGCCGAAATGCAAGAAGGTGTGAAGTGAGAAATCTGGCATTAAGACAATGTTCATGGTGTACTTTGAAGATCTCATCCATTACTCCTGCCAGAGGGCACAACATTAAATGCTGCTATGTAAGTGGAAATACTGAAATGTCTGCTGCAACGTTTCAAGTGGGTGTACCCCCAGTACACCAAGCAAGGCACTGGACCTTGCTCTATGATAATGCGAAGTCACACACTGCCTTTCTGCTGCAGCAGTTCCTGGCCAACAGGGAGTTATATCCCTGAATCACCCACCCTACTTTCCATACTTGTCTCCCCTGGACTTTTTCTTGTTATTCAAATTGAAATCAGTCCTGAAGGGCCAGAGGTTTCCAGACATTTCAAACATCTAAAGTAATATTACGAATTATTCCTGCAGTTTCCAGGAATTGTACAGCCGTTCCAAGATGTGCATTACCACCAATTGAGATTACTCCAAAGGACAGTAACAACTGTTTTATGCAAGATAACAATCCATTGTAACTACAGACATATTCACCAAACTTTCTGAACAGAGGCTGTATAATATAGTACAGCAAACCAGTTGTTAAAATTATAATATTTATCCAGTAATTTTGTTTTAAACCGGTGGTTCTCTGCCATTTTTGTCCCATGTACCCCTTTTATTATTGCTAGATGATCATTCTTCCCCTTTCAAAAACTTGAAAAGTATTAAACTTATATTATTTTTAAATGTGTTTCATAAATTATAAGTATGGAAAATGTTGATAAATACCAAAACTTTAATAAAAGTAGTTTTTTTATGTATTCATAAAATAAAACTAAATATTTAATAATTAAATAAAAGGCTGGCCACATTACCCCCCAAAACTATGAAATCCCCCCAGGGGCATTCTGGTTGAGAATTCCTGTTTTAAGCCTCATCTTAAATAAAATTTATTGTACTAAACTTAATTTTCTAACGTTTTAAACAACTAAATTCAGATAACAAAGGAATGAAAAAGAAATGTTATGCAATGCATGCAGATGACCTTATCAATACTTCAGCTGCCATTGATTTGTTACCACTTATTTAAGGTGTTTAACGTCTCTTCTGATCAACTCATGAATAAAAGTATCAAGCTACGGATACAATACAAAGTCTGGGTTTTCCGGAATATAGATCATCAATTTAAATCTGGTAAGATGGCACGCAGAAATGATACAATTAAAAATATGAAATTGTAATTTATGAAATAAAGAACAATTATGATCTATCAAAATTTACAAAAAGAAAAAGCTTAATATTTATTTGTTTACTTTATTAAACCTTTCTTTCAATGTAAGTTGTTTAAGATGCTTCCACAAAAAATTCAAAAAGTTCCTTTTTGTTGTGTCATATATAGTGGACTTTCCAATGCCATACTTCTCACATAATTTTAAGACGGATAGGCCTTTATCCATTTTTTGCAGTAATTCCACATTTTGTTTAATGGACATTGAAACATGCTTTCGCTTTGTGGATCCTTTGGCAGCTTGAGTATAATAAACTCTTTTTGACATAATCGAAAGTTCAAGTTTAATTTTTATAAAATTATTCTAACAGTCTGCAAAAAATAATAAGCCAGATTCAATGAGAAGATTAAGGAGCAGGGCAATCTGCAACATTAACTGAAATGCCTTAGATAATTTTAGCCTAGGTTATACCGTCCGTTACACATTAAACGCGCACGTGTAAACGCATTATGCGTTTACGCATGTGCATAAAGTTTGTAGCTTTGAGGTCCGGATTATAGATCATTTCGAATTATGGATGTTCGGATTATAGATCATTCCGGATTACAGACTTTGTACTGTATAAGTATTTCTGGAATGGATCCAAGAAATGCAAGATTCTTTTTTCAATTTTTGATAGCACAGTTTGATATAGGATAGTTGACAGCCTTATTTAGGTGCTAATGAAGCATTTATGTATTGTACTGCTTCGATCACCCGCCGTACAGCCCGGACTTAGCGCCGTCCGACTATCACTTGTTCCTGAACATGAAGCGCGAGCTTGGTGGCAAGCACTTTGGATCTGACGATGACACGAAAAATGCTGTGGAGTCGTGGTTATCGAAACTGGTGGAAAGTTTCTTTGATGATGGTATACAAAAACTGGTCACCCGCTATGACAAGTGTTTGATCATTGGCGGAAACTATGTTGAAAAATAGTTTAAGACATGTATTTTCATGTAAAAATAAAATTGTATTGAAAAATTGTTTTACTATTTTTTTTTTTCAAAACGGTACTTAGTTTTCGAATATGCCTCGTATAATCATTTTCAATATCTATTTCAAATGTTATATTTGATGCTTTATCTAAATTTAACAACTCTAACAGTTTGCATATCTTTCAACGAACTGGATGCATTGTATACAGGACCGCGGCAAGCCTAATCAGCGCCGTGGTGCAAATATTTAGCGAGCGCCTTTATGCAGTGACGATATTAAAAGGACATCACTTATGGTTGACATTTAAAATGAAGCATTATTAACATTGAGACATTAGGATTTTTTTTGGAAGCAGGCAAGATGATAAATGTGCAACACCTTGACTGGGAATTGAACCACGGACCTCTCAATTACGCGTTGAGTGTGCAGAACACCACATCACGAAGGCATGCCAAGAAGGCGGGAGAAATACCTTATATATTCCCCCTTTTAGAGGGCGAATGGAGTTTCTAGGGGACCCAGTCACCAAATCCTGGATGTGGAGAGTCATCATTTACCACCATTTTAGTTTGGGTGCCACTTGTAGAGACATTAGGTAATATTTTTTTTTTTTTTTTAAACAGGGAAGATGAAAAATATGCAACATCTTCGCCGGGAATCGAACCACGGACCTCTCAATTACGCGATGAGCGTGCAGACACCCACACTGCGAAGGCATGCGAAGAAGGCAGGAGAAATACCTTATAATATAATAATAAGAAAAACCAAAAAAATTATATTTATTTATTCTTTACAAAAATTAAATCGCCTTATTGAAAATTAATCAAATTTACATTAAACTAAAATGATCTTTTTATGATTGTGTTATAACACAATGGTTGTCCATTATTTGTGCTAAATCGTAATGTTTGGCGGCAGCATAAATGTGATAATAGTATTACGAACTCTATAATGGCATTACAAATCTCCCTTCACTAAAGTTTTCACAGGAAAAATTTTGTCTAAAATTCTAACTTGAGCAACTTGAGTTAAATTGGTTACATTAAGCTTTCCAGTTAGCTAAATGCTGGATGGTAAGGCATTTACTGTACTCTTATTTGTATTTGTGTTATTACATAAAAGACATAATTACAATGTGTATGTATGTATGTTTATATTTGAATGATTAAATGATTTTCAAGTTCCTAATACCTAAAATTGTCAAGCTATATCATCATATCTTATGTTGCTAAATCATACAATTATGTATAAAATTATTTGTTATGTTTTTTAATATCATCTATTGTAATTACATTAAAATCATTAATGCAAGGAAGCCATTTAATATGCTAAAAATCCAAAATATCTGATTTAAATCAAAAACATGATGTAAATTTAAAAAAAAAAAAATCTGATTTTTTTTAAAATCTTGATTTTGTTAAACACAGTTTCAATATAGGGTTCACTACAAAGATATTACCACTTAATGTAAAAGGCAATGTAAACGGAGGTTGAGTAATATATTTTACATACCCTCTGAGTTTCTCACCAGTGACTGAGTAATTAAATTATTGAATACTGAGAATGCCACATGGGCTCAGTCCCAGGTGAATGAGCTGGCTGCAAGGTTTGTTTTCATAATTTTTTTCCATGTACAGGATGACACAAAAAGCCAGTTTCTATCATTAAGTTCTCCACAAAGGTATTCCTACTTTTGTATGCTATGGTGTGTTTGAATAGCCTAACCTTGTGCATTATCAGAGATAAAACTATGTTAGTACATATAATGTGACATTAAAAGCATGCTTCTTTTTCTTTTTTCCATTGTGACTACCTTCATAGTGTAAAACAGGGATGGGCAAACTTTTTCGGTGGCACCCCCCCAAAAAAAAAATCGAAAGAAAAAGTTTGGCGGGCCAAGATAAATTTTTCTAAAATTTTAAAAACAATATACAAGTATACATTTAAAAATATATATTAAATGAATTTGTTTCTAAAAGTATTGCAATTTTGTTTCTAAAAGTTCCTTATATTGAGGTTCGAAGTGACATGTACCGATTCTAAGGAACGGGGCTAAATGCTCATCTGTCAGTCAGTCTACTTCTGAAATAATTCTTTCTAAGGTTCATAGCTGAAAACACTTTAGCACTGGTTTTCTAAGCGTAAGATATTAAATTTGGGAAACTTACTTTTGATAATGATTTTAAAACCCTAACTTTGGCATATTTAGAAACAACTGCTTCTGATGATGATTAGATTGCAACTCAATTAATTCAAGCTGCAAATCTGACCTCACTGCTTCACAATTTACGTCGAAAGGCATGGTAAAAATATCCAATTCTGTTTGAATATCACTGAAATCTTGAAATCTCCATTCAAACTCAAAATGCAGTTTTTCAAGCCATCTTCATAATTCTTAAGCATCTTTCCTTTACTGAGGGTATTGCATTTAACCTCGGGAAATGAGACAAATCATTCTTAGCTAGCTGCCCAGCAAACAAATTAAGTTTTAGTTTAAAAGCATTGAGATGGGCTCAGATATCGTCAATAAATTGATTTTTTCCTTGCATCTTGACATTCAAGTTGCTCATATGACAAAGAAGAACTGAAAAATGCAAAGTCCAAAAGCCATTCTGTGTCTTCTAACATCTCACACTCTGCAGAACACCATTTCTCATGGAAGAACGACACAGTGTTGTCTTTCAGCTGCCAAACTGGCTTGAAAACACATCTTGCGCTAAGCCACCTTACTTTCGTGTAATATAATACATGACAGTAGTCAGATTGTACAGACTGAAGAAAATCTCGAAATTGCCTGTGAGTAAGCCCACAAGATCAAATAGTATTTACAAGTTTCACGACTGCATCAACCATGAGTTTCATATTCAATGCAGATTTACACAAAGCATTTTTATTAAAGATTCCAAGAAATCCAGATTTTTTTCCTGTCATGTTTGGTGCTCCATCAGTCGTAATATTGCATATATTTGTTATAGACACTTTCAAAGCCCTTCCTGAAATTCACGTAAAACATCCCATCCCGTTCTAATTCCTTTTAAGGAAGGCATGCACGCCAATTGCTCGGTAATTTCAAAGGTCTCATCAACATGTCTTATAAATAATATTAATTCAGCAGTATCATTTATATCAGCGCTTTCATTCATAGCTATGGAGCAAAATTTAAACTGGCCAGTCTTTGACTCTAATTGTGATGTCAAATTTTTATCGATGTCTTCAATTCTAGAAGTCACTGTTTTTCGAGATAAGCTTACAGTCTCAAAATTATTTTTCTTTTCTGGACATAAAACATTACACACTTGAAGCATGCATTATTTAACGAACTCCCCATCACTGAGAGCTTTATTATTTTCAGCAATATTGTATGCTACAATGTAACTTGCATGTAGCTGCTCTTGATATGTTTACTCTGATAAATTTTGTCGTCTGGTATTTTTACAAAGGCTTTCTGCATTTTCTTTTCTTTATATTCGACATGCTTTGTAATTGGAATTCTTATGATTAGATGTGAAATGACGGGAAATGTTATATTCTTTGAAGACTGTTACAGCTTCATTGCAAATGAGACACACTTTATCTTTTACAACTGTAAAAAATATTTCCGGGACCATTTATCATTAAAAGCACGGCACTCTGATTCAACTTTACGATTTTAATAGTCATTTTGGGGTTGAAATATTTTACAAATAACCCAAACAAGCATTAGCTAAGCTATACTTATAATAATAATAATTTCACATATATACTTTTTATAATATTCACAATGATGCTATATGTCCACAATCTTTCCATATGCAATCACTAATATTAGAATTCGCGTCAAAAGGAGAAGTCGCTGGTTGGAGCTTAAAATGCGCAGTCTGCCATACGAGGTCTAATTCACCTATATTGGATTCCCATATGTCGCTTTCCTAAGCTGTCTGTGCTTGCTATTCCCATCAATTTATGTTTTGTAGAACAAAAATAGAGAAAGTAAAATGATTATCAGTCCTTTGAAAAAAAGGAAGAAAAAAATATTTAAACAAACTAGAAAAGGAGATGGATATACTATAATATATTTCTTTTAATTTGCCTTGAACTGGCAAATTAAAATTCTATCCCCAGGCCGGATAGAACCTTCCGGCGGGGCGGATTTGGTTTGTGGGCCATAGTTTGCCCATCCCTGGTGTAAAACATAAAGATTTTAATGACTTTCATCAATAGATACCAAATAGTATATGCTGGTTATTATGTGTCACTGTATCATCAAGAGATGATCTAGCAGATATAAATGTGCATGTAGTAGTAGTAATGTAGTGACAGGTTTATTACTGCAAGCAGTAAACTGAAGAGAAGTAATCAGTATCTCAGTGATACACTTTGTATTACTGCCATATCTACATGCATATGTAACTTACACAGAAAATTAATATACTCATTTATGTGGCCAATCCAGTATTTATAGAACTACAAAAAAGTAACCAAATTAAATGTAAGCCATACAAAACAGAAAAAATAATAATCTGAATGGTTTCAGATTTTAATGGTTGCTCAAAAGGGTTTGTTAGAAATTTTTACACTCTTGCTGAGCCAGTCTACCAGTCTGCTATTGCACTCATTCCAGCTAACCCTTTTCCTTTTTGGTGTTTATAGCTTTATTATTATGCAGCATTTTCTTTGCACTTACACCATATAAAATTCAACAGTAAAATTACAAAAATTTAAAAAGCAGCATACAAGCATATGTTTAGAATTCCCATTGTGTGTTTGCACATATGGTTTCTATTTTTTCAGTTCATCATATTAATATTTAGTTTTCTTAATAAGATAGCAAACAAATCTTTTTTTTTTTTTTTTCAATTTTATCATTAACATTTTGTGCATTAAATTTATTAATTAAATATCATGTTCTTTGTACTTAACAACTAATATTCAATTCAATGGCAAAATTACAAAATATTAAATACAAAAATTCAATGGCAAAATTACAAAATATTAATTCTTTAGAATTTCCAACAGGCAGCCTCGCACATTGGAGGTAAAACTGTTTTATTCTGTACAGTATTGCCATTGCTTGCTTTCAAATCGAGTCTGTTAACTAAAAATTTATTTATTAAATATCCCATTCTTTGCACTTATAACACAAAAATTCATTTCTATGGGAAAATCACAAAATATTTAAAGACGGTATAACTTTACAATTTTCAATAGACAGTCTCGTGTGCTGGAGATAAAAATGTATGTACAGTATTTCCACTGCTTGCTTTCAAATTGTTTTGTTAGTCAAAAAACTCCTTTACGTTTTACAAAATATGAAATAAATAAATAAAAAAAATATAAAAGCATTCTATAAAAATATTTGATATTTCTAATTAGACAGATTATTTTTAGTTATAGAGATAGATGAATTAAATGGATTTTTATTATTTAAATCAATCTGATTCAAAAGTAAGAAATCATATGCTTAAAAACTGCATCTGCTGCTTTCAAATATCCTTGTTTGGTAATCCACAACAGACAGTCAATTTGAAAATAAATATCTTACATTTTGCAGAATGGTAAGAGACTCGAATGAAAAGTAAAATGACACATTTACGGTGATTCAAAGCACAAATCCCATTTCAAGACTAATAGCCCTTTCAAGCTTTTCAAAAAAAAAAAAAAAACCTGTACAAAATATAAACACTTACTTCATTGTATTTTTCTCTGAAAAGCATAATATCAAGAAATATAAAATGTTTATTATATAATATAATATAGTTCTTTTTCTTGATACAGAAAATATATTCTCACTGACAAATGAATTTGGTTTTATCATTTTTAGCACATCAAAATAACCAGAAATTGTTCTCTATTAATACAATTCATAAAATTTTAAAAACATTTGTCTTACTTCTTCACCAATTTAAACACCAAAGCTTTATTATAATAAAAAAACTTCTTTACCTTAGCATTATCTTCCAGCTTTTTCCCACAATATTGGCAAAATGTAGCAATTATTGGATTCTGTTCTTTACAGAAATAACACACTTTAACAAGCCTTTCTCCACACTGGATGCAATATTTAGAGGTAACAAAATTCATTTTGTGACATGAGATACAACACTGCAGAGTTACTTCACATTTGCTACAACAAAAATGGGGTTCAGAAACAGCAGCACTTGTTTCTTTTCCAACCTAAGTTGGAGAAAACATAGTAAGAATTCTTGTTTGTGTAATGTTATTATATACAGTAGAAGTAAAATTAAAAGAATGAAATGCATAAAAAAGAAGAAACATGGTTTTTTGTTTTGTTAGATTTTGAAAAGAAGCATTGTGTTCATTTAATATACCAGATCCTATCCTAGCAAAACACTCATGCTTTGGAAACTGAGGGTATAAAAACAGAGAGAATCTAGAAGTAGCCCTTGATAAATGCTACCATAAGCCAAAATAAAAGGCCATTCATTTATCTTTCAAAAACAATTGTGTACAGTGGATTTGCAGATGATTGCCATTTAGTAAAACATGGTCTTTAATTTCTTTCAGATTTAATGAATGTATTACTAACAAACAAACTAAGTGATCTAAAAGCAATAAATGAGCTTAAATCTTTATTTAGCTTGTTATAGTAACATATCTAATTAATATAAATAAAAACATATTTAATTCGTTGCACATTCATATGGCAATTTTTATCAAAATTTGTAACATAGCAATAGTTAATAAAATATGTTCCAAATGCAGTAAAATTCCTTTAATCTACACACTTTGGGACCAAAGGTTGTGCATATTAGGGAATACTGCAGATTACATGTCATATTTTCCTGAATTTTGTTTACTTTCTCACCTTTCTAATATTTACATTTTTAATTACATTTGGATTGCTTGCACATAAGTAACTAACCAAATCATATTTAGAATGGTTTAATCAGGATTCACTGAATATAAAACTAGTCTATTTTTAATACATTTAAATAAATAAATAATGTCAAGTGTAAAAGAGAAAAAAAAAAAAAAAATGCAGGGATAAAAAGTATTTCTAAGGAAATAAAGAATTTTTGTTTAAAAACATATAAAAAATTTTAGTAAAACAAACTATACACCACCCAACTTACTTTAAAATAATTTTGTCTTTAAATGAGATAAAATATATTAATAAATTTAAAAACTGTTTATAAAAACCACAGCAGCACATTTTTTCCAAATTGAATTAATATGCAAGAATACTACTAGGTTTGCACATGATGTTAGATGAATAATCTAGAATTAAAATTTTGGATTTGTTCAATGAATATTTCTCTGCTTTCATTCTTTGTTGTCACATTTTTGATATTTAATGCAAAGAGAAATCTCTGCAAAGGCTACTCTTACAATCTATTTCCATTTGCTGATTGTGTAAACAGCTTGTTCGTTGCACAGAATGTAATTAAACCAACTATGAGGTACTTTTAAGTTAGACTTCCATGTCTAAAAACTTGCAGATGAATATAATTTTTTAATATATTACCCATATAAATGCAAAATTTACTTTAAAAGATAATGGAATAGACAGTCAAATGTAACAATTTACATAAAATGAAAAATTCACAGATTCATCATTTAAGTTTGCTGATCTGTGTTCACCATACGCAGAAAATGCCAAATAACTTTATTAACTAATTAAATTTGTTTCTTTTTTTTTAATCAAAACATATTATAAATATAGTGTTTCATTAAAAAATATATCTGTATAATTGCATAAAAAATTACTGTTAAATTTATCATTATGAATTTTCTAACTGGAATTTTATTTCTTTCCAGTCAAAAATAAGTGTGGATTATAAGCATTCGTGAATTATCAGAACTCTACTGTACCAAATGTTACATTAACTGGTGCAGAATTTCGAAAAAACATTTTCATTATATTTTACATTTTAAAATTGAAAAAAAAATTATGTTAATCATAAATGCTTCTTTGATGTGTCACTACAAAATCTAAAATTTCCAGATTATTTTTCTTTTGCCTTCTTTGATAAAGTAATAGAATTTTGTACGAGAGGATGTTGAATGAGAAAGATATTTACAAACTGTGCTAGTACAAAAACTACAGTCATTACATATAACTAAACTGGCTGGGATGGAAAGACTTTTAAACTTCATACATTATACTCTGAAGAGTTAAATGAATAAATAATTGAATCTTAGAGCATAAAAGTTCAATGATTTAAAAAAAATTAAAGCATATTACTTTTACACTAAAAATACAATGCCTAAACTTATATCTGATTTTTAAATTAAGTTAAAGATAAAAGACATTTCCAAAAGATTTTCTTTAAAGTATTAAGTCACAAATAACAGTACACATTTCAACTAGAACAATTTAAAATATATCCCTTAATTTTATATACTTCAATTTAATTTGTATTGTATAGAATATTTTTAATCAGGATAAACAATCAATAAATTAACATAAATAAAAATGCAATAGCCCCTAAAAAATTCATAAGATCAGGAAGAAATAGACAGCTACTTATATACAGTTTTTTATGCTTCCAGATAGTATTATATACACCCTTTCCAGAAATAAAATGCTACATTACTTCTATTTCACATAATGGATTCTTTTGCTCTACATGCTTTATCTCAACAGTTTGTATGTATGAATTTAATTATAATCAAAGTAGATGATAAGAGAGAACAGCGCATAAGCATTAAATTTTAGGTAATTTCTGATTATACACATATAAAAATTTGCTAACTCACTGGTGACTTTATAAATTAGAAAAAAAAAAAAAAAAATTGTTTAAAAACTGTAGTTCATAAATAATAAGAAAAAGGGTACTTACATATTACCACAACCACCTTAATAGAAGTTGTCACATTTTCAGAATAGAATATGGCAGACACTGGTAACCATGCATAACCATGCTTATAACATTCCTTCACTCAAGTAATGTCACCATTTTTATATGTGTTCTTTCTGTTGTATTCCAAGTTCCAATGTTTTTTTATATACAAATCTTGACTTTTTTGGGGAGCTTTAAACTCAATTTTAAAGCAAGTGCTTGTGAAATTTGCCAGCAATGGAAGAAGCTGGGGTAAAACTTCAGGAATGCAGTATTCTGTTACAAAATCCCTAAAGGGATTTTTAAGCAAAAAAAATTGCTGTGTACTTGGAAAGAAGAACAGCAAAAAAAAATTTCCAAAAGATTTCATGAAAAATATCTTTTATTTTTTAATGTACCATATAATTTTCATTTAATATTTAAAATTCATATTTTAAATTGTTAAAGAATATTTTCTTTTGAGAGGTTGATAATGTTTGCTGGCTTACAATAAGTATTTTATAGTTTGGAAGGAGGTTCTTGAAAAGGTCATGAAAATAAGCAACTTGTACTCAATAAGTTTTACTTTTTCATTTAAGAAAAATTGCCAGGCAGTGACAGGTGACGTAGAACTGGAGCACCTGGCATCTGCTGTCTACCAGAAGCAAGCAGGTGCATGCCCCTGGTCCTCCACTATCCATCTTACCAAAGAATTAAAGGAGGTGGGTCAAGGTGGTTGTGTTTGATATACAATTACCACACAAAAAAGCATTTTATACAAAAACTTTTATGGAAAAAAAAAATCTTTATGGCTGATATTTACATTTTTACTGCCAGTGGATACTGCTCTAGTATGATACTCAGCATGTAGTTAGCACATACTATTATCACATGTATACTCAAAAATACATAAAACATAACAATTGAACTGAATGTTGAAAGTGAGGATATGGATCGCCAGAAAGTTTCAAATTTCACTATAAGTTTAGAAAAAGTATTACTGAAACACTCAAATGCTAAATCAAGCTTTAGTGAATATGCTTTTGGCTAAATAGAACCTATAAATGATTCAAAAATGGCATCAAAAGAATTTGACTGTGCATTGTGACAACGAGCCTGCTCATATCTTGTATGCTGTAAAGCAATACATGGCATAAAAAACATAACAATTCCCTATCATTTTCTTACATGGTATATGTAATTTCCTACCCTTTTTCTTACCTAAAAATATTAAAAATCTTTCCTCTTTCTTTTTCCTAAAATAAAAATGAAGCTAAAAGGAAAAAAGAAGCACTATAAATGAAGTCCAACCAACCCTGTAGACAGTACCAAATGCTCTAGCAAAAGATAAATTTGTCAAGTATTTCAGATCATGAGAATAACACAGGCATCAGTATTAACAATCTAATGGCAATTATTTCAAAGGTGAAGAATGAAAAAGAATATAAGGTATGTTAATAAATTTTTACAAAGAAATTTTGAAAACTTTTAAGTAGTCATTTTGAAAAATATATAAATCAAACATTTACCAAAAAGTAAGATTCATTATGAACATAATTCTTTTTATCATGTTCATTGTGTTCTGTCTCATCACTGGCTACAAAAACTTTTTGATCTTCAGATGATGAAGAATCTTCATCAGTTACATCTAGATCTTCAATACATGTTGTTACAATTTGGAGATCTTCATCTTCCAAAAGTGGATGACTACAAGATGTTTCAGCAGAAATTCCAAGCTGTTTTCCTACAGCTTCAGTTTTCTCATCATTACCAGTTTTATCATTTAAATTACATTTTTCTGTTTCACTGGATGATCTAAGTAAAATTTTAAAACAGTTAATATTAGCATTTCTATCTTTTTTTTCATGTACCATAGAATAAAAAATGTAAATATCATAGGTTAGGGGACAAAAAAAAAAAAAAAAAAAAAAAAAAAAGAGTAAAATAGGGAATGGAATAATATAACAGCAATATGTCTAAAATCTTATACATGCCTAGAAATTGATAAAAATCAAGGTAAAGCATAAAATTCCCTAAATATCCCAATTTGGGGCCATACGAAATTAGAATTCTGCTTTTGATTTCACAGCACTTTCGTCTTATGACGGAATGACATATTTCTTCTTATGAGACAAAAATTACAATTTTCATGATAAGTTACTTAAAGAAGCTGACATAATTTAGAAATTAGCACAGTTCAGTAATAAAGCTACTGAATATGCCTATCTAAAGTACAGACTGCAATTTATTTTTACCTGGACGTTTCATAATGATAATTCTGGATGGCCCACTATCTTTTGTTTTTAATCTCTGCATGTGTTGACGGTTTAAGACTGATACTGTTTATGTAAACTGATCTGAGTTAAGACTTTACTGTTGAGTACAAGATTTATCAGTTCAAAGGAAATATCTCAGGGTTCACATTGCGATGATGAAAAAGAGAATATGAATACACTGGGTATCTTATAATAAAAGGTATTAATTACATTTTGATTATCTTTAAATACAGGTACATAAATTACTAAAATTAAATAAAATGAAAAATTATAATTTTCAGCACTTTTTCAATTACTTTAATAAATAAAATTACAATTATTTTGCACTTTGTTAACAGACTGAACCAAATGTTCTTTGCAAATATTTCATATCTTTTGCAGAGAAGCTCAGTTTTTTCTGTCCTTAATATTTCATATGCTGTACACTTTTTTATAAATGTGTATAATCTTCTTAGTAATTGGTTCAAGATAACAAATGTTGATGACCATTTTTTCTCTCAACTTTTAAAAGATTACTGGCATCTTTGATTCCTGCACATTTAAAAAAAATAATTAACATGTTATTATTGCATTTTCTTATTGTTAAATATTCTTATTGTTAACCACTTGCCTGATTATCCCGAGTTATCCCGGGTTCGTATATATTGCAGTTAATTATTGTCCCAAGAAAACTCAGGCGAAGCAGAATTTGTCAGCACAATTTGTTTTATCATGGATTTACTCGGCCTGGAGGAAATGAAAGAAATATTCAGCTTTATTGGCAGTTTGCCAAGTTTTGATGGTTTCCCGGTTCTTTTGGCCGGACTGGTCACATGTTTTCCCTATTGTCTAGTATACATCGGCTTGTGGATTAATAATATCTAAAGAATGATAGTTGAGAAAAGTAAAATAATGGCAATGATGCAAGATAGCGAAAGCGATGATTTTTCAATTAGTGATTATAACCTCAATGCATTTTGCAGATGTTATTCCTGCTACCAAAAAACAATCAAATCAAATGAGACAGTGTTCTCTGTCCTCCTGTATTCCAGAGGTAAGCCAGTAAGAAAAGAGACCAGATACCAGTGTGTAGAATGTCAGGTATCACTTTGTGTTGTCTCTTGTTTCAAAAACTATCATACAACGACTAATATTGAATTTTTTTTATAGTTGCCCTTTTTTTAAATTCGGGATAGTAATAATATTAAAACTAAATGCTTACACCTGTAAAAAATAAAAATCAACTTAAAACCTATATATTTCGTTTTGTTTCGTTTCCTTGTATTTAATAATAAAATTAAAAAATGTGATGATTTTTTGCAATTTTTTTCAAAAAAAAAAAAAATTGTAAGGGAAGTGGTTAAATCAGTACATAAGGACAGTTACTTCATATAATTATAAATATATGTATGTAAGTGTGCCAAGTGAACTGAGGCCACAAAATCAATTGAAATAAAAATGAGTATTTATTTGCCTTGGCTGCTAAGTTTGCTCTTCATTATGGATCTAGATTCTACACCAGCACATTGCTACGTCTTTCACATTATGATGATGATATGCCATAGTTCTCCATCTATGTAATCATATGTCTCTTCAGTATTCTAAGACTGCTTATCATTACATATACGTATATGCAAGATATAACAAAATATGATAGCTGCTTTAAGAATAATTGGTGACCTTAAAATTAACAATTCTATATTTTATGCTCTCCCAAATTCGAGATTGTTCTAAATTACATAACACTGCTTGAAAAAGGTAACTAAAATTAACCAGTCATGGCTTAGCTTCACATATGCACCTATGTAGTATAAATAAGGCATTACGACCAATGATGCCTTCCTTTTCCTAGCTTTTACCGTGCTAACAACTTTGTGCCACTTAAGCTGTCTAAGATGCCTTTTAAACCAGTATACTTATTGTATTCAACGATGATTGAAAAGTAATTTGTCTGCGAAAGAGATGATTTGAGATTCAACGATGATTGAAAAGTAATTTGTCTGCCAAAGAGATGATTTGAGATGTGTAAAAATAAAGATGATGTTTCTTCAATTCAGTTTTGTTAGCTGCTTCATCAAGCCTTCACCCTCAGCCACATGACTGCATTAAAATATTATATATATGTAAAAGATTAAATTAGCAGTTTAAATTTCCTTCAATATTCTAAAAATAATAACCCCTATCTGCCCTGCATCATTTTGAGATTAATCTGTGTCACATTCCTAAACAATTCTGATGATGTAAATGGAACTATAGCTCAAACAGCCAATAGTAATTTTATAGCAGTATTAACTATCCAATCAAAATGCATTGAGAACCGAAACTAAGTCAGTCTGAAATAAGATTTCTTCCTGACCATAACACACTTGCTTTCTACGCTTTTGCCTTAAACAATTTATATAACTATCAGTAGTTACACTTTTAGAAGCAAAAGTCCATAGATAACAAGTAACATGATCAATAATGTGAATATAGTTCTTAGTAGAATTATAATACTTTAAACCATCAACAGTATCAATAGATAATATTTTAAAGGGTTCGCTAACAGATGGCATATTTTGCATTAAACCAAATTTCTTTTGTTTAGATTTCTTATTAAACTGACATACACTGGTGTGCAAAAATTAAGGACGAAGTCGAAAAATTAGCATATCAGATGAACGAAGAGGCAGAGTGGACAGAAAGACCAATCAGGAGATTAAGTAAGGTGATGTATGGTAGCACATGCGCAGATATGCAGGTAGACGTAATGGGGGAGTGTCTGAGTAGTATAAAGCATGTTGTCGGTGTAAGATCAGTATTTCTGGCAAAGAGATTGCACACCATATAGCAGTTCAAATCACACCGAGTTGCTGCCTCAGCGAGAAATGGCGAATAATCAATCTGTTAGACAACATCTGGATGCTTTTACCCGAGGTCGAATCATTGGGAAGTTGGAGGAAGGCCGCAGTGTGACAAGTGTGGGTTGCAGAGTTTGGAATTGCTCACAGCATCGTTTCACGACTTTGGAGACAATTTCAAACTGCAGGAACAGCTATCCGGGGGTTTAGTAGTGGTCGTCCACGAGGAACCACACCCGCAGATGACCGGTATATTGCTATACAGGCCAGAAGAAATAGGCGGCAGACAACGGGAGAAATCGCTAGACACACGACACAGGCGACTGGACGACCGATATCGCGTTTTACCGTGGCCAGAAGACTGCACGGTGGTGGTCTGTTTGCACGACGCCCTGTACGGTGTGTACCTCTAACGCCTGCCCATCGGAGAAGGCGTTCTCTGTGGTGCCGGGAACACCGGAATTGGAGAGACAATGAATGGGGACGAGTACTCTTTACAGATGAGAGCAGATTCAGTCTGAGTAGCGATTCTCATCGCATACTCATCTGGAGAGAGCGGGGAAGCCGCAATCATCCCTCGAACATCATTGAAAGGGACAGGTATGGAGGGTGGCGGTGTTCTCGTTTGGGGAGGCATCATGCTTGGTAGTCGTACAGACCTTCACATCTTCGACGCAGGTTCAGTCAACGGGACCCGTTATTGTAACGAGATTCTTCTTCTTCCATATGTGCGTCTTTTTAGAGGCGCTATGGGGTCCGCAGTTTCCTTTTCATGGACGACAATGCACCATGTCATCGCACAGTAGCTGCCAAACAGCTCTTAGAGAGTGAGGATATTGAACGTATGGATTGGCCGGCACGATCTCCGGATCTCAATCCCATCGAGCATGTATGGGATTTTCTAGGCAGACGCTTGGCAGCTCGTACCTTACCACCAGTAACGATTCCGAGCTTCGATTGGCGCTGCAAGACGAATGGGCAGCAATGGCCTCAACAAATCATTGACACCCTCATTCTCAGCATGGGCAGACGCTGTGAAACCTGCCTAGCAGTCAGGGGAGATCATATCCCCTATTAAAGACCGTATGTTTCTTGCTGGACACCCATCACAGGGATGCTTCGGCCTTCAGTCGCATTGCGCTCCATGCTACTTTTTGAATAAAGCTTCTTTTTATCCCTCCGATTTCGCTTTTAGTAAGTGTTGCTTACATTACTCATGTCCTTACGTATTGGGGATCTTACGGTATTAAATGTGTTGATTTGGAAAGCTTTTGTACAAAGTTATATTGAAAAAACCGTCTCGTCCTTAATTTTTGCACACCAGTGTACTTCACAATGTTTACAATAATTTCAAACAACTTGTACAATCCCTGGCTAATAATATTGAGGAGATAATAAATTTAGCACTGAGGACATGTCACTATGACCGAACTGAATATGAGCTTTTTCAAGTAGTTTAGTACGAAGAGACATTGGTACTACATAGGTGCATATCTATGCAGTACCAATGTCTCTTTGTACTTCATTCTAAATACAATCTTATTAAAACCTTGTTTCTTAATAATTAACACATCATTAATTTTCTTATATTTAGGATTACGAACATTATCTAAATTTTGATAATGATAGGGATTCGGTTGAAATAGCCTGCTATAATACCTAGACAGATTTTAGAGAGATTTGCCTAAAATTCTGCTGAGAGTAATAAACCATTGACTACCACTTCCTCCAGTGCAAATGTAACAAGGAAAAGTTTTTGTGCTGTTTCTATCCACTCCTTTGGTATCTTGATATTTTGCACAGTTAATAACATTCATTGAGCCTCAGGGAGTCCTTGATTTAAGGCTTCAACCATTGTTTTGTTATTAATTAACTGATCTAAAACAGCATCTATTCTAGGGATTGGTTCAGAATCTTTTTTTGTTTTAAAACTGCACCAACAGTTTCTTTAGATGCATCAAGAAATAGTACAGTACAAAGTCTTTAATCCGGACTCATCGGGACTTCGGCGATTCCAGATTAGGGGTTTTTTCTTCTTCCGGATTATAGATCATCAATATAAATCTGGTATGATGGCATACAGAAATTATAAAATTAAAAATATGAAACCATACCTTATGAAATAAAGAGCAATTATGATCTAAAGGGTATCAAAATTTACAAAAAAAAAAGCTTAATATTTAGTTGTTTACTTTATTAAACATTTCTTTCAACGCGTGCATGCGTAAAGCATACATTACGCATAGTCGAAATTAGAAAATTGCTACCCGAAAACTATTTGATGTGTATTCATGATATTTATAATGACAAGGAATGTGATTTAAATCATATCAAAGACAGAGTACATCAAGATGAAATACTACATTTAGTACGGAATTATAAGCTGAATAAAATGAAAACATCTGCCCTGAAGATGAGGATAGTGCTGACAGATCAACTTCCAGTTCATTGCACGCCGCGACGTCTCCCCTCCCCCCACAGAGCAGCATGAAATTGATAAACAGATTTCGGAATGGTTAGAGAAACAAAGGATATGCCTTTATCCATTTTTTGCAGCAATTTCACTTTTTGTTTGATGGACATCGAAACATGCTTTCGCTTTGTAGATCCTTTGGCAGCTGCAGAAATGATTTTTGCTTGAAATGATGTGTGAAGATTTGATCACAGTTTTTATTTTTGACAAGTCCGTGAGACTTGCAATTCTCTTCCGTTTCTCGACAATCTGGTCACACGTAATACATCCAATTTCAGTACTACGGTTTACAGTAAACCTTCATCGGTTTGCCTTCCGCCACACTTTAAATCATGGCATCTGACTAAACAAAAGTTAGCTTCATTTTATTCCTATGTTTTCCGTGCTCTTCAAGTTTGCTCCTCAAACTAGCCCTTGATGAAGAACTAAATTATTTAAAAGCAATAGCTATTGACAGGGGCTTTTCACCCAACATTATTAATCAAGCAGTTAAAAAATTCTCATCTCAACACACTAAAAGGCACACTCTTGTTTTAGGAGATTATAAAAATTCTGTTGTCATTCCCTTCTTTCCATCAATTAGTTATAAAGTTGCACATATTTTGCAGAAATTTAACTTTCGTGTTGTTTATTCTCCCATCAATAAAATTCCGAGTTCCATACTCAAGGACCCCATTCCGGATATGAATTGCTGGGGTATTTATAGGATTCCTTGCCAGTGTGGTTTAATTTACATTGGCCAAACTAAGAGAGCCTTAAAATTTCGCGTCAAGGAACATGAGGCATAGAAGTCTTCTGTTGCTCAGCATTGTTGGTACGAAAATCACACTTTCAATTTTTCTGCTGCCAAAATTATTCAAAAAACATCTTCCATTGGAGAACTGGATTTTTCTAGAGGCATTTCACATTCATAAAAATCTTTCTGTTCTAGTTAACGATCCTAATTCCAATCCAAATTGCCTTCGGCTTTAAAGAAATTATGTTTTAGTTCTGGTTTCACCAACCGATGGCGCCACTTGCTTATTCTTGTCCAGGCTTTCTTATCTTATCTAATCATTATTTCCTATCTTATTCATTTGCGGTTTTGCAGCTGAGAAATGGTGGTTCGGTAAAACCATCGAAACTAGTCCTGTGAAAATTTTGTAAATATAACGCTGATTTTTGTTGTTTGACTTCTGACTTAGTACTTATTCGGCATGTTATTGTGTCTTAATTTGCTAGTACTTTTACTAATGTTTTTAATTTACCTTAATTAGACTAGCATATTGCTTACTATTAGTATATTTCTACTTGTAAATATTCAAATGTATTTTTTTCTATTGTAATATATTTCATTGCAACTTATTTTGCTTATGTTAATGTTTTCATAAAACCTCAGTATTTCAGCGGCTTTTTAGCGTACGAACTAGGATTTTTCTATTAACCTTTTTCTAAATTTTGCAGCACAATGCGGAAAGTTTTTGACCACATAGGTCTTTTATCGTTTGTTCTTTATACTTTTCTTTAAATTATATATATATATATATGTTTATCTATATGTATGTGTCTGTATCAATATGATTATAAATCAACAAAATTAAAATGTGCTTAAACAAATAAAATCATATAAAAAAATTAACTAAGATTTTGATTTGATCTACAAGAAAACAGTTTCACTAGGAAAAATTTTGTTTTCTCACACATACTGCTCTTTTCATTTATAATTTTCTTTACGGAGGTTTTTCAGAAATTTTGTGATTATGAAAAACATAAGTGGATACACTAAAAATTAATCTCAATAGTCTAATTTCCCTGATTGCTTTACATTATATTTCTTTGCCAGTTACACCTTTTTGTTTGAATTAAAAAAATTAATAATATAAAAACTGTTTCCTTGCAAAATACCACTTAAACGCAGTATTTTATTTTCAAGTATTTCAAATTAAAAAATGCAACAAAAAAGCTATTTCGCATAATAGCTTACGATTCAATACAGTGATTATACTTTATAATAATAAGTAAATAAATAACTACAATAAATAATTACATCAAAAAGAGACTTTTGTCATTAAAAAATAAATTCAAATAAAAAAAAAATGGTTAAATTCAAACAAATTGTTCAGTAATTACTTAACAATAAAATTAAATGCTTAAATTTTTGCCATTTCAGATTTTAAAATTGAATAACAATATTATACTTACTGCTTTAATTTGTCATTATCCATTTCTTCTGTCACAGGTATCTTCTTACCTTCAGAGAGTGAACTTCCATCAACTGAATTAAACAAATTTGCTTTCACTTTTCTTCGATGACTAGATCTTTTTATTTTTTTCTCTTTCATTTTTTCTTTTGGTTGCTGAGGCAATACAGGATCAAGTTTTATGACATCGAAACATTTAGTCACTACACTACTGTCCATGGAACGAACTTCAGCATTTATTGCAACAGCTTTGACAGTAATTTTGCCCGGTGGCAGGCAAAATGGTGCTGTATACTTAAAAGTTTTACTTCCTTGCACTATTCCAGCATAAGGCTGTGGTTTTGTTCCATCCAAAGTATAAAACACTACATGCTTTATATGAGTGTCACAAAAAAGTTCAATTCTTGTTTTTGTATCAATACTTCGTGGACCACCAAGGACAGGAATTCGAATAGGTATAATACATGGAGCAGGTATAGAAAATGGTGCCATTTGTTATTGTAAGAAGTTCTGCATGTTTCTCAATAAATAAAGCTTTGGAAATAAATTATAAAACCAACATTCATAGCACAGTAACAACACAATATTTTACAGATATGAACAAGATATTTAAATAAATTTTCAAATCACACAGATCATGTTCTATCATAAAATAATTTTACACACTGATAAATCAAAATAATAAAATATTGATTTCATATAAAACATACGTTTATAACAAATATGATTATTTATTTTTAATCACTAAATACCTACAAAAAATATTTGGAATCTTTTTCATATACTTTAAAATAAATTTACATGAATTTATTTAACAACAACAATTATTGTCCTAATTAACTTCATGTAAATTTAATTAGACAATTTTCACATGTTTATCATTATAAACCATTTTGCTTCATCCTGAATTTCAAATAAATAATATATTGAATTTGTTACCCAAAAAATAGGACATTTTTCATAACAATGGAAATCTCATTAAAGAAAGTTTCAGTCTAAAGTGAAAACAAAATCTAGTAAATAAGAAAAACTGCAAATGTATGTAGCACATATACTTTGCTGTTCAAAGTGAAAACATTATATGAAATTCAAATTCAGGATTCTTTAAGAGAAATACAGGTACAGCAGAAGCAGAATTTGATCTAATTCCAAATTGACTGCAATAAGGATTACTCAGGAACGTAAATATGCAGGACTGTATGCCACAATGTTCATAACAGAGAGTTGCTTTGTTTTGACTTTTGATGCTGCATAACGGATAACAATCAATCACTTTAGATTGTCATAGACTGTTTAGACTTTAGACATGTGATGAAACCAAATCACCTCTGAATATTTAACAGGAACCTCAATGCCTAGCACACAATTTAACTTGAGCTCAAAAGGATGCGGGGGGGGGACTCAAGTGCCTTACAATTGGCTTTGACACTGTAAATATGTAACAAATATGGATTGATTCGTATGAACCTGAAACAAAACAAAAATTAGTACATGCCTACATGCCGGTTATCTGCACTCTTGGTTTCAACATTTAGTAGAACTGCCACGTTTTGGTGCATTTTCAGGCATACACATGACAACTACCTCAAGCATGTATATAATATTAGTATAGATATGTAATAATGTATGGATTATTATATATTCAGCCATGATTTTGCTGAACCAAACCCACCAGGCGTAAAAATGTAAATATTAGTGATACAGAAATTTTCTCACTCTCATTTCTTTTTACTTTTAAATTTATTTATGAACAGAACAGTATCTAAGAGGGATAAAGATAGCCTAACAAACATTTTGGCTAGTATTCATTGGTGGCTTTTTGCAGGGATGCAGATAATCAGAAAGTACCCAAGGATCTAATGTTGTTTCAAAATGAATGAAATTCTACAAAAAGAGTTTATGCACAAAATTGTTCAAAGAAAATTATTGCTATGTTTTTCTTTTTTTTTTTTTTTTTTTTTTGAGGGGGAGGGGATACATGTGATGGCTTAGTCTGATAGCGGAAAGCAACAGTGTATTATTAGAAATGCTACTAAAAAAAAGCAAAATATTTCAAAAGTTTAACTTTGTCATTGAATAAAAGCAAAAGTAATTATGAGTACTTTCAATGTGACCATTACTGACCAAAATGTATACAGTTATTCTATAATTAGTTGTAAATAACTTTACCCATAGAAACCACATAGCATTACATGTAGCCATCCCTTTCTAAGTCTATCACTGTTTATCATACAAAGCAAGTGGCAGCCATCCATACTTTCAATACTTAGTGAATCATTGACTTACAAAGTTTTCTTTGTTTACAACTGTGACATTCAAATCAGTCTGAGCATAGAGTTTGGTCTTGAATCAGTTTTGGTACTACAGTCAAAAGTCGTTAATCCGGGCTTGTCGGGACTTCGGCGATTCCGGATTATAGATCATCAGTTTAAATCTGGTAAGATGGCATGCAGAAATTATAAAATTAAAAATATGAAACCGTAATTTATGAAATAAAGAACAATTATGATAAAAGGTATCAAAATTTGCAAAATATATATATCTATATATATTATTTTTTGTTTACTTTATTTTTTCAATGTAATGTTTAAGTTTGCTTCGTTTATGTGATAATACTTTCTCTTTAATTCTATAACGAATAATTTCTTGTTCAGTTACAAAGTTCCGCTGTTCAAGCCTATAATTGCTGTGTCGAGAATACCACTAATTTGCCAATCGAAATTTTTCGTTTTCAATAACCTCTGTGTCACTTTCTTCTTCACTATCGGAAGCGAATTATAATGACAAGGAATTTGATTTAAATCATATCAAAGATCGAGTACATTGATATGAAATACTACATTTAGTAAGGAATTATAAGCCAAATAAAATAAAAACATCTGCCCTGAAGATAAGGATAGTGCTGACAGATCAACTTCCAATTCATTGCGCGCCGCGCGTCCCCCCCCCCTACCGCAGAGCAGAGTGAAATTGATGAACAGATTTCGGAATGGTTAGAGAAACAAAGGATATGCCTTTATCCATTTTTTACAGCTATTCCACTTTTTATTTGATGGACATCAAAATATACTTTCACTTTGTAGATCCTTTGTAAGCATTGGAAGCATTGGAAATTCTATTTGACATAATCAAAAGTTCAAGCTTACTTTTATAAAATTGCTCTAAAAGTCTGCAAAAAATAATAAGCCGGATCCAATTCGAATATTAAGGAACAACACAATCTGCAACATTAACTGAAATAGATAATTAGATAATTTTAGCTTATACCATCCGTTATATATTAAACGCACATGCTTAAACGTATTATGCGCATGTGCACACGCATATGCGCAACCGTAAAGGTCTTACGCGCATGTCGCAGAAAGTTTGTAGCTTTGAGGTCTGGATTATGGGTGTCCGTATTGACTTTTGACTGTATTCAGTTTTGAGGACCGTAAAAAATTGGTAGCGAAAATGTATGCGCCAAATCTAGCAAACAAGCCCATTTAACGCCGCACCAAATCTAGCGTACACGCTGATTTCAGACTGTGCAAGTTTATATAGTTCTCTATTTCTTAAGACGCCATTGAAATACTAGTTTAATTTCTAAACCCTTTTTTGAAATTCTATTCTTTCAATTTGGATTGCCTGATGAAAAGTCTGCAATAGAATTTGGTTAAGTGCATAATCACCCACTGTTGAAGCGTTTTGCGAATGCACCATACTCGGTATCCATGCACAGCGACCTATTTCACTTAAAAAAAAATCCCAGAATTGCGCAAAAATGCCTGCGCACACCCTTGGTTTATCTATGTACACAAGGACTATTTTCCTTAAACCAGTAAAAGAAAATTGACAAAAATCCAATTGTTTTTACCTTGTAAAAAGGGCAAACAAATAAGTGGAGATTTTTACTTACCGAGAATTTTTTCAAAGAAAAGGCATCTTCATTATAGAAAATTATGTTTGAACAACCAAAACCAATGAGATGAAATTATGCTTTAGCGATAACTCGGTAGCGAAATAGCGATGCAGCCATCCATTCAGTTGTTTTAGCAATTTTTATATAAATTATAATAATGATCTGAAATAGTAGTTTTTACTCTTATGCTTCCATTCAGTCATGTTTAGCCTTTTTATACATTATAATAAAAAAGTCTCTATGAAATTAAACTTTTCATCTAAATTAAAACATGAATTTTAAATAGTTATTTACTATTACAGTAGTACTTCTTTTCTTGCATTAAGGTTGCCACAATTATTTTTGGCAGGACTGGCATCAACAATAGTTTGGCGATTTTTTACGGTCCTCAAAACTGAACAGTACCTCAGTTTTTTCTTTCAAAGTTGTTAAATGTAAAGTATATAGAAATAGTGGTTAGAAAGTAGATCTTCATGTAAAACTGAAAGAAATTACAATGGATAAAGCTCTGATTAGGCACTCGGACCAAGCACTTTCAAATGATAAAGTCTATCATTTGAATGCCAAGATGGTGCTGTTAATCTGGTAACAGATAGCAAAATACTAGGAAGAAAAGTCTAAACAGAGATCCTCCCCAAAAGAAAAGAAAGTATTCTAATGAATATTTAAAACATGATTTTCATTCATAAGAGATGAAAAGTTCTCCAGTTCTTTCTGTGTAACAGGTTCCAGTCCTCTTTGAGCACAAGTTTTATAAAATAGAGAGAAAGAGAAGTGTGGGACCTTCAATACTGATCGGCAATTTAGAAACTAAATACCCTAGATACAAACAAAATAAAATACTTTTTGCAAAGATTGTATAAATGTCCTAATATAAAATCTTATCTATTATTAGCTAACTTAGCCAGTGAAAATGCAATTGAAGTGTCACAGAATATGTTGTTAAAAGTGGTAAAAACTACATAGCTGCTGAAAACACTTATAAAATTGCATTTCCTTTTCAAACAATATAAGTTCTCAGGCAATCAAAGGCATGACTGATGACATTGAATCAATAGTAATAGACAGAATGTAAAATAGGCAATTTTTTCCCTAGCCAAATAGATGACAGCAACAATGCATCAAACTTTTTTATTTTGCTTTCTATTGCAACAGACATAAACGGAGAAAAATCTCTTATTGCGCAATCCTTTCGTAGAAAATGCATGAGGGAGGTACATTTTAAATGTTAATAACAATTACTTTTATGAAAAGAATATTGATTGGGCTAACTACAGTAGTTTTTTTTATATATTGAGGGAAGTGCAAGGCAGAATGCTACACAGATTAGCAAGGGGACATCAAAGAAATCACATCTCTTACGCTAGTTTGAAACCACAGCTGCATCCTTATGCAAAGCTTAGTTTTCAAACTTTCACAGTCATTAACAGATCAGTAACAGTTGTTGATTTCATTAAATCCAATGCATTAAACTTCAGACTATTCTAAACATTATGTGAGGCAATGGATAGTTTACATACTACACTACTTTTGCATAAAGAGACTGCCAAAAGGAAAAATACTATATACGTAGATTGTTTGCATTAAGATATAACATTCAAGATGGTACTTTTCAGTTATTGGACTGGATTCAGAAATAGGTGTTTACATACTAACGCAATTTGGCGAATTTTACCATGAAAAGGTAAAGTTACTTATTGGGTACAAGTAGGTGGTTTTTGTGATATTTTTTTTTAAATAAGTTTCCTCAACTATCAATAATCATTGCAAATTGGCAAGCATTACAACATATAAAAAGGAAGCATAATTTAGTAATTTGAAATACCAAATTTCAATCATTAAATAAATATTATGCGATATATTAAAAATAAAACGCATTTTTCTACAAGTCCATTTGCAATTTTTTTGTCCTATTCTTCACCCAAAATACACAGCAATCTGTTTACACTTAAAAAAAATCACAGCATGGAAGAGATACAGCATCGCACAAACTTAAATAATATTAGCTATCTACCAAATGCCTCCCTTTTGCCAATGTTCCTTTTAGAGATTTTGCATAAAAATTCTGTGTTCCTGGAGAAATTTTACCACAGTATTTTACATTGCTGGCTAATTCCACTAGCACATATTTCTGGTATACAACAAAAAGATTGCATATGAAAATAGTGATGTGGCTTGACTCGAGGATTGTTATGAGCATAGTTGTCTGAAAAAGTGTTATGTGCCTGGTTGCCAGAGTTTGGCACATTCTGAAAATTTGGAAAGTTCCACTAAGGTGGTTGCGATAACATGCAAGTACCCAGAAATGTACGCGTGCGTTTGTATCAGGTTTTAATGAAAGTTTCCCGCCGCTGAAAATATCAAATGGACAAACAGTTCGTGTTGGTGTGTTTAATCATATTTTTTCAAAACATGTTTGGCATTTGAAAGAAAGAGACTTGCTTTAGAACACTATACTATGAAATTTGTTAAAAAAATATCCTTATCATTAAGAAAAAGGTGACTGAAATCAAACTAACATGCTACCAGATTATAACCATCGTTTATTTCCAGTTCTGTAGCATAAAATCAGCCACAGGATGTCACCAAATCATATGTACAGCTGTACAGCTTTAGGTACTAATGTTGTATCATATGACACTGTGAAGATTTAGTACCTAAAGTTCAAAAACAAGGACTATGACATTCAAGAAGCAAAGCACTCTGGCTGGCCTACTGATATTGATGAAGCCCACCTGCGAGAACTTGTGAAAGAAGATCAGTACGCAACCACTCGAGAGCTTGCTAAGAAATTAGATGCTAGTGCCATGTTCATTAGTCATGCATGTTTGTATGTAATGATTAGTATTACATTCATGTGGACATGCATACAAACATATATCTCTGAATCCAGTCCTGGTAGCAGAAAAGTACCTTCATGATTTTTCTAAAGAACATTAATTTTAGTTGAACTTGAAATTTCACGATGATAAATGGCTTTAATACCACGTGATGACCAGGTGTGAAAGAATAGTCTTGATGTAGTTCATGCATGTCATAAGAGGCTACTAAAATGGGTGCCCAGCATCTGAGGATATAGTCACGCATTGTGCCCTTGAGGATTATACAAGGCGTATTCGGAAACTAAGTACCATTTTGAAAAAAAAAAAAAAAAATAATAGTCAACAATTTTTCGATCCATTTTATTTTTACATAAAATACACGTCTTACTATTTTTCAAACGTAGTTTCCGCCAATGATCAAGACTGTCATAGCGTGTGGCCAGTTTTTGGTACCAATCGTCAAGAAACTGCCCGCCAGTTTCGATAACCACGACTCCACAGCAGTTTTCGTGTCATCATCAGATCCAAAGCGCTTGCCACCAAGCTCGCGTTTCATGTGCAGAACAGTGATAGTCGACGGCGCCATGTCCGGGCTGTCGGCGGGTGATCGAACTGCTCCCCATGAAACTGTCCAATTAACGATTGAGTGACACCAGCAGTATGGGGCCGAGCATTGTATGGAGCAACAAATTCTCTTTTACAGCGCAT